TGTTTCAAAAAAAAAAAATAATTAATGTTGTACGAAGATGGAGGCATGCATAATGGGGGATTATAAGAATGACTGGAAAATAAAATATAATTCGGAAGTCCCTTTGACAATATTATTTTTAAATTTAAATGTGTAGCAAAACTTCTGTTGAGATGGACATGTGTAAACCGACAATTCCCTGTGGAAGGATAAAAAGTGATAATGCGAACAAAGCATCATAAATATTTGGCTTTTCATGTTTTTCCCTTTGTTCATATGATCCAAAACCAAAAAGGTTTTGTGCCATGCATGTTTTGTTAATGACTACTTTAAATAATTTTGTTAATAAAAACCTTTTTTTAGTGTAGTAACAAAAAAAATTCAAACCCTAATGTAAATGTTCGTATATACACAAACCAAATTAAAGAAAAGTTTGTTGTAACGTAACTTGTAGATGTCATAAAATTCAATCTCATCATCTATTGCCAGTCACCCCCATTGTAGTTAATCTAATTAATATATAAACAGCATGATTTATAGTAAGACGAGAGAATCTAGTTGTTAGGTTAGGAATTGAAGAGATTAGTCTGCATGCAATATTAATTAATAAGACCGATGCGATGATTATATATGCTTATTTTTGTGTACATAATCCACAGTTGTTATATTATATTCATTATTTCTTGAAACGTTTCTCATCAATCGGTAATTTTTTATCTTAAACGAGAAATTAAACATGTAAGAAATTGTATCATCAACATATATAAAAACCGAGATACAAATAATTAGTATGACAGAATAACAACAATTCAATGGTCTATACATAACCCCTTTATTTATTTTGCAACTTTAGCATTAGTAACGAACGACTATTTTTAAGAATATAATAGTATTTTTTATTTTCTAAATGATTATAAAGTAGATATTCTGGTGTATTTCTAGCTAGTTATAACATGAAATTACGAATGGTTTTAGTCAATGATAAAATAACCTTTTTCCGTCAAATGAACAAAGTCAAATTCGACTATGAATTTCCTGTAAAATTATATGCCTTCGAGAATAATACAGTATAATATAAGAAAGTGGGGAATTATATAACCATAGATTTCTGAAGTTTCTCAAGGTACCATGCTACGAGCATTTCTTATTACAATCTAAGTTTAAAAAATACAATATATGATAATTCCATTCATTACACAAAACTATCATTAATCGATTATACTTTAAAAGCAATGATTATATAAAACTTATAGTAAGAAATGCTATAAAAAATACGGAGCATGATTGGGTTTTAATCATTGCTCTATGCATGCTTTGTTCTTAGTCCCTCACGCCCTACATCATTATTTTCATGTTACATTTCTTGGTAAAAGCATATATATATTATAGTGATGGCAAAAGAAAGAAAATACAATATATTCTGAGAGCAATAAATTCCATTTTCATATAATAGTAGAAAATGAGAAAATGAGTGAAAATCTTTCAACTTTTTTTCCCCTATAAATGCTTCCATTTCAGCTAGTTCGATTTAATATGTACATATATATATATATATGTATATATAAGTAGATCATATAAGAAAAAGTGAGTTAGTGCAAGCCACTGGAATTGTCTTTTCAAACATCAACAAATTATATAAAGCAAATGAATGCAAATTACCCGAGTTTTAGGGTGATTATTTTCTGAGAGGGTTACGTAAAAAGACACATTATGTGTTTCCTTCTCACTTGAAGACACATTATGTATTTGGAACACTTTTTGTGTACAGCTGTCTTTTTTTAGACGAAAGTAACCCTATCTTATTTTAAGGAAGCAACTAGAATTGATTTTAGTCTGGATAATTTAGTTTGCGTTGACATTAAATACTTAATTTATTAAGATTCGATATTGGTGTGTGGGTTTGTGTGAATCAATATGGACTCTTAGATTTGTTTAAAGGAAAAGACATCTACCGGCTTAGAGAATAGATTAACGATGAGAATTAATTATGATTTTCTTGAGAAATAAATTGTGATAGAATGGTTGGAAAGATCGTTTTAAAATCTCCTCCATAATTTTACAGTTTTTGTTGAGATTCCTGTGGAAGGTGTAGGTTGGAAGGCTTGAAGGTTAGTGAGGATAATAGTGGTCAAAGTTCTGTAGTTAGCGTCTACAGAGACTCTGTTGTTTTTAAAACTCTGTTTTCTCCTCTCTTTTTTTTTGTAACACGAAACTCTTTCTCTTATTTTTGTTGTGGTTACGTTTTTATACAGATGGAGGGATGGGCTGTGGACAAGGGATGTAGATATTTGGGAGGTGTTAGTGTCTATAGAGATAGCGTCATAATAAGGTAAGATGGCGGTGGATGCCTAATTTGGTGAATACTCATGGTTGTGGAAGAGGGTACATTGGTCGGGAGTGATATGTTGTGGACAGATGAGTCATGGATGGGAGTACACTGGTCAGAAGCTGTAGACAGGGAATGTAGATATTTGGGAGGTGTTAGTGTCCATAGAGGTAGCTCATTATTCTGAATTAAGAAGTTGAGTGTCCAAAACTTAGTAAGGAGGAATCATATTAGTGCTAAAACTAATCCGTAAGAAGATTAAAACAGAATGTGTACAGAAGACGCGTGGACAAAATTTGTGTGGATGAGATCTTGTGGACGAGGTCTTGTGGCCGAGATCTTGTGGACAGAAAAGATCACAATAACACTAGAGAAAGGTATTGTGACATATACCTTATTCTGAATATACATTATTTGTATCCACCACCATCACATCCATGACCACCACTGCCTCCACACCATCGCGTCCACCATCTTCTCCACCTCCATCACCACCTTCGTATCTACCATCGTCTCCGCTATGATATCCACAGTCACTTCGACCATGGTGTCCACCTCCACTGCTTCATGGTACTAAGCATCGTTCATACTCCATAGTTCCCACCGCTTCCACGACGGTATCCACCTCCACCATTGTCTTTACCGCCGTTACTCCCACGTGATTAAGCTACGGTGTCTCTCCTCTTCCATGGATTAATCCACGGTCTCTGCCGCCATTGCTTTCACAGCCTCTCTCCGCTTACATGAGTCGAGCAAATCAATTATATCATGAGCCGAGCTTGATCTTGATATCTATGGAGTTTGGGTCAAAACGAAGAAGATGATTGATTGTTGTTCTTCAATTTTTTCGTCAATTGTGTTTTTTTGTTTAATTTCAATCGATTGAAAAAAAGAAAAAAAAAGAAGAATAGAGAAGAAGTAAGGGGAGAGACAAAGATAGTTGAAGGGTAATTTCGCCAGTGATAATATAAAAAGTGTCCACCAAACATAAAGTGTCTTTTAAAGTAAATGAAAACTCATAAAGTGTCTGTAGGAGTAATTTTCTCTTATTTTCTTGATATGATTTGAATAGTTTTTTTTATGATGCTAATTAAGTTTGAATAAAAGAAATTAAAAGTAGGATATCAAAGGTGTATAAAAAAACGAAGTACAATATCAAGCTTAGAAAAATTAAAATGTGGAAAATGATTGGGAGTGTCAAGTGGGAGTGGGACTACACTGGGAGTGACGCACGCGCACCATTCGCTTCCTTCCAAACGCGCACCGATTGGATATTAGAGCACCCCAGTGAACCGACGGGGGAGGTTCATAAGAAAAAAATAATATTTTTTTTTCTTTTTTTTTCGTTTGTTTTTTTTTAAAAAAAAAAAATAAAAAATAAAGGACCAATCGCGGGCCGCCACATGGTATGGGGCTCGCGTGAACAGTGTTGATCCGGGTTCATCCCTATAACCCCCATCAACTCAGATTCATAACTTTTATTATATTTTACTTTTTTTTTTTGTCTTGGATTTTGTGTAAACCCTCCCATTGAACCTCCAATGGGGGTGCTCTTACATTAACCGTCCACCACTGCCTCCTATTTTTCTCTTTTGCTGTCATGTCTGTATAAGGATTTATATTCTCTCACGCTTTACTTAATAGTAAAAGTTTATAGTTCGTCGAGAAAAATAACTGGTAAGAAAAGCAAATTTCTGAAAACTTGTTCAAAACCCATCATTATTATTTAAAATTTATAAGATGATAAAGAACCAGAAGAGTTTGGAGCTTAATTTTGAGTGAAATTTTTGGTTTAAAAACCACAATTCCTTTGTACCGAAAGAAAAAAACACACAAGCGCTTTGATGAACAAACATCATGAAGAATTTCTTCATTAAATTAAAAATGTTAAATGCATACCAAATTCTATCCTTTCCAATTATTTAAACCGTGATGATCTTGTGGTTGGGTTTGAAGGCACAAATGGCCACGAGATTAAATCAATATACAAATAATCACAATCTTTTCGCTTTATTTTTTTTGAAAGAATACCAAATTCATTCCGATAAAGAAATCTTTCGCTTTAATAGAAAATATGCACAAGACTAAAGAAACATATAAAGCATGTACTATAACAATAACTAGAGTTTTACCCGCACATCCGTGCGGGTATATTTTTATTTTATAAATATATAACTAATTTTTTTTAATATATGATTTATATTTTAGTTTTAATTATAATCATATCTAATAACGAAATAAAGAAATATTTATTTTATAAAAAATATATTTAAAATTTTTGGTAAGATCTTGTTAGATTTTTTCAACAGAATTTGTTATATTTAAATTTATTTATTATTAATGTTCTTATTAGTTATTAAGATATTGTGAAAATCGTATATATTTGACTGGTTAATGTAACAATAAAATATGTCAATTAAGTAATTAATAACATGGTCCAACATGACTTCTAAATAGTAGATAAATTTGGTACTTCTCTTTTAATAGAGAATATATTTGTAAGAATATTAAAACAAAAACAAAGAAAAGTCACCATTCTCCATAAGCATACCACCACCACCACCTAACTATACATATATGCCATCAAACTTGCTCTCCTTCTTCACACCAAAAACAAAACTCAATACTCTTCTCTTCTTTATACCCCCTCTAGACTCTCACACACAAAAGAAAAGAGAAAAAAAAACAAATAACCATGAAAACGATGGTTGATTTAGGAAAGCAAAGAGATAATCACTACCATCACCACATGCAAATCATAACCACTCCGACCACCGTGGACTGCGCTCGTGAATTACGTCACCGACGAACTCTCCGTTCACTCATCCAATGCATGCTCCCATACTGTTGCACTTACCAACAACCTTCGTACCAAAACGACACAGTTTCGGTCTCTTCCTCCTCATCTTCCTCCTCAGGCCACTCTTCCTCCTCCTCCTCCTCCTCTTCTTCTTCCCATAGTAACAGCATCGTAAGTGGAACATTCTTCGGACACCGTCGTGGTAGAGTCAGTTTCTGTCTTCAAGACACCACCGTGGGATCTCCTCCTCTTCTCCTCCTCGAACTAGCTGTTCCCACGGCCAGTTTAGCTAAAGAGATGGACCAAGCAGGTGTTCTACGCATAGCTCTCGAGTGTGACCGTCGTCGAAGCAGCAGCAACAGCAACAACAGTTGTTCATCGTCGATCTTTGATGTTCCAGTGTGGTCGATGTATTGCAACGGAAGGAAAATGGGGTCTGCCGTGAGGAGAAAGGTGACGGAAAACGACGCTGTTTTCTTGAGGATGATGCAGTCTGTTTCGGTTGGAGCTGGAGTTGTGCCGGTGGATAAAGAGGAGCAGACTCTGTACTTGAGAGCGAGGTTCGAGCGAGTCACGGGGTCGAGTGATTCGGAATCGTTTCATATGATGAATCCTGGTGGTGGTTATGGACAGGAGCTTAGTATATTTCTTTTGAGATCGTGAAAATATTCATGAGTATGGTGTAGTTACAATATTAATACAAGATTATTGTTATTTTCGTGTTTCTTTTGTTTTTTAGTTCGTGTACATTGTAAAGTAAACTACCAAAAGAGTAATATGTACATTAATAGTACATTTTTTTTTCATCAAAATATTTACATTAATGAGTACTAGTCTAAAGATCATCTAAACTGCAAATAAGGTAATGATTTTAGAGTGAGGCTAGGCGTTTATTGAATCTATTAATTTGTACCAATTTTGTTAATTAAGCAAATTACAAATTTGACTGTAGCAAAGACTACAACAGTACTATCTTTTTTAACCAATATGGTTGAATTACTGGCGTTGAACAGGCTACATTTAACATCACGAATATGTAATTCGTTGAAATTAACCCCAAGGGACCACCACTTAGGCATGTCAATTGCACGTACTGTGCGTCATGAACGTCATGCTAAAGCAATGTACGATTGGGACCAAACAGAGAACCACATGATCGAGTATCTTTGTTTTAGCTTCGGTGCAGTGCCACTGCCACTGTCAGACCTCGTTTCTCTTTTGCTTTAGTTTTCTTGTCTCTTTGATCGCACCGAGCTTCATTTCGACGTCACTCATTCCCTTTTTATTATGTTAAAAAGAACAAAACTCATTACTTTTTGTCATTTGAATCTCTGGTTGGATACAAATACAATAGTATAAGATTTGGCTTATTACTATACTATTTACGCACGCTCTACCTAGTCTAATTTATAATATTACATTGTATTGTTCAGAGAATGTAGACAATGACTTTATAAGTTATACGATCATGGAATTATTCTCTCATAGAAAACCGACTAAAAGAATGTTATTTCACATGATACTTCAAAAAAAGAAAAAACATAAAGAGTTATGTTGATCGATATCTTGAGATACATTCATTGTACACAAATATTGGTTAAATAATTCCATATATTATAACTATACTATTGATATCAAGAAAAACAGACAAATAATCTAAAATACTTGTATGGGAAGCCGACGTCCCAGAAAATGACAATGAGACATGCAAAATCGTGATATCCAGCAAGGTATGTTCGACTCTAATAGGCTTATTCTCTCATTGATATGTTCTTTTGTCCCCTCTTTTGTGTGAGTTAGTACTGTTTGTCTGATTTTTCTTGTTCTCCATTATAGATTCTCAAAATCATGTATGATTAAATAATGACAAAAGAAGAGAATGAATAAGGATAGTGAGTGATAAGGTATGAAAAATGGGAGATGCACACGAGGGTACAATATAAACCTAACATATAAACATAGTTGGCTCCACAACACATCTCCTTTCGTCTATTTTCACGTGTACTCTCGTCCCCAATTGATACCTTTCCTCATTATTAAATTAAATTGTTATGATATATATTTAATTATATATATATGTATGCATACGTGTGTTAAAACTTTTATGATTTGTAATAGGGCAATTGATATCATCCGGATCTAACCCGGTAGAATGCAATACTACATTCACGGGCTTTCTTCGTGTTTCCTCATTTAATGTGTGACTTCTTTGAACTGATTCAAAATGGATCTTAATAGTACCGTTATTTACAAATCAATGTATATCTCACTGCACTCGTTTGTCTCATCTAATTTTAAAGCTTCTGTGTAGGAAATGTTGAGTCTCAGGGAATATATATGGCTACGTGAACACCGTTATAAAAGCTCCAACCGCACAGAGAGTTGTAGTCACTCTCAATGGATCTAGAAATGTCCTTTTTTTTTTTTGTAACACATATTCATTCATTAAGAGAAAGTTAGTTAGGAGCATTAACAGCATCCTCAACTACCACTGATTCAAATACAACAGACAAAGCTTCTTTAGCCAAGGCATCAGCCTCCTTGTTCTTATCTCTAGGAATCCATCTAAAAGAGATAAAATCAAACTCAACAGCAAAAGATAAAATATCAGAAGTCACACTATGCAACTCTGCAATTTGCAAGCTTGAATTTAAGCATTTCACTAGCTGGGCAGAGTCCGACTCCAGACACACAGACCTCAGCTCCAATCTCTGGCAGGTGAGGATAGCTTCCCTCACCGCAATCGCTTCAGCCATCAAGGGGGATCCCACGAACTCCATGTGCTTTTGGAAAGACCTGGAAAGCGGAGGATTTATGAGAGCCCAGCCTAAACCTGCAGCGCTCCTTTCCGCCGACCACGCAGCATCTGTTCTGAGCGTCACGGTTCCATCTGGCGCATTAACCTCATGTCTCCCCCTAATTATTACTTTCACAGGTTCTGGTGTGGACACAGAGCACCATTCACGAGCTAGCTTGATTGCAGCTGAGAGGGTGTCTTCAGCCGACGCAGAGCATCCTTCAAAAACAAATTTATTTCTTGCTTTCCATAAAGCCCACAGGACCCAAGGGAACAAAGATCCAGATGAGATTCCCGAAGGAGGTAAGCATTTCAATTCACATAGAGTGGCCCAATCCGAAGTTAAATCTATGATTCCTCTGAAGTCAAAATCAGTATCAAAGGGGGCAAGAAGCCAGACCTTTTGTGCGTACTGACAATGAAACAGGAGATGAAGTATAGATTCACTACTCCCACACCGCTTACATTTGGGATCCGCGTCAATGTGTCTCTCCACAAGTCTTTCTCCCACTGGTAGCGCTCTCTTAAGGGTCCTCCAAGCAAAATGCTTCACTTTGGGAGCACACTCAATATTCCATACATTCTTGTTCCAATTAAAACTAGCCTCCACAAGAGCTTCCCCTTCAAACTCTCCCAGCGCTGTGAAGTACCCCGATTTTGTTGAATAATCCCCTGACTTTGTTCCCAGCCATATGATCTTGTCTGGAATCCCAGTAACGCTCGGTTTCAAGCACAGAATTTTCTCCTCGTATTCTGGGAGGAGCGCTTGGATTAGCTCTCTGTTCCACTGCCCTGAATTACCCAACATCAGGTCTGAAACCGTAAACTCTGCAACGGGTTCAGTAGGGGGGCCCATAGGACATTCCTGTCTGATGGTACTTAACCAAGGGTTGCGCCAGACGTTAATTGAGCAGCCATTGCCTATAGCCCAGCCAATGTTCTTGAGGAGGAGGTCCCTACCAATCAGCACTCCTCTCCAGCCATGTGACATTACTGAGGTCTCCTTCACCGATAGGAAGTCTCCGTCTGCGTAGTACTTGCCCTTCAGGATCTTCCCAAGGAGGCAGTCTGGGTTGTTAATTAGTCTCCAGCCAATCTTTGCCAGCAGAGCATCGTTAAATTTCTCAAAATCTCGCATGCCTAGTCCCCCAACCGACTTAGGTTTTGCCATACGGTCCCAAGAAATCCAAGCCATTTTCTTAACACCTTCGGTATTGTCCCACCAGTATCTAGTGATGACGGATTGAATGCGATTGCACAGAGAAATCGGGAGTTTGAAGCAAGTCATCGAGTAGGAGGGGATGGACGTCAAGACGCTCTGAAGCATTACAAGCTTCCCAGCTGAAGATAGATATTTGGTAGACCATCCTCTGGCTTTATGTTTTATACGCTCAACAATAGAAGAAAAGAGATCACGCTTTCTTCGTCGAAACTGCTCGGGGAGTCCAAGGTATTTCCCCACTCCACCATCCTTTTGAATTTGCAGGGTATTCTTGATTGATTCCTTGAGCGAAGGAGGTGCTTTGTGGGAGAAGGTTATTGCTGACTTGTCCTTATTTATTGCTTGACCTGAGGCTTCTTCGTACATATGTAGGATGGACAGGAGAGCCTCACTATTTTCAGTAGAGGCAGTGAGAAAGAACATTGTATCGTCTGCAAAAAGAAGGTGGTTGATCTGGGGGCATCCTCTCGCAACTTTGATCCCTTGAATCAATCCTTCTTCTTGAGCTCTATTACATAATCCCGAGAGGACTTCACTACATAGGATAAATATGTAGGGAGAAAGGGGGTCGCCTTGGCGAATCCCTCTGCTCGGTACTACCTTCCCTCTAGGCAAGCCGTTAATGAGGAAGGAGTATGTAACAGATGAAATACACTGTATTATCAAACCAATTAGACTGCGGTGGAATCCCAACCGAGCTAACACAAGAGCGATAAAATCCCATTCGAGCCGGTCGTAAGCCTTGCTCATATCTGTCTTAACCGCCATAGCACATCGTTGTTCCGCTTGCGAGGTTTTTAAATAGTGCAGTACCTCGTGAGTGATGAGGACATTGTCACCAATCGCTCGGCCTGGCACGAAAGCCGATTGGTTCTCAGAGATCAGCTTATCCATCATCGGTTGAAGGCGTTTTGTCAGGATCTTAGAGTAAATCTTATAGTACACATTGCAGAGAGCAATGGGACGATAATCTGACACCTTCTGTGGGTTAGTAATCTTTGGGATAAGTCTGATAAAGGTGTCATTGACCCCTTCAGGCAGTGGTGCTCCCTCAAAGAAAGCCTGAATTTCCGAGACGATATCAGGTCCAATGCTGTCCCAGTGGGTGTGGAAGAAGCCTGCTGAGAAACCGTCAGGCCCGGGAGCTTTGTCCGCATGAATAGAGAAAGCCGCGTCTCTAATTTCCGATGCTGAGGGAGTACTCAAGAGAAGGAGGTTATCACTCTCCGTTACAATGGGGTGAAGCGCTTGTCGCACTGTCTCAGCTCTCTCACCCGGGCTGGTGGTGAAAAGTGTCTCAAAATACTCTCCAATGACTTGCACAATCTCGTCTTCCTTATACACCAAGCGACCATCATAACTTTCTAAAACTGAGAAAGTATTTGCCCTCTTTCTGATTTTGGTGGTGGCATGAAAAAACCCGGTATTGCGATCACCAAGCTTCAGCCACATCAACCGGCTACGTTGCCTCCAAAACTCCTCCTCTGCTTGATAAGCCGCATTTAATTGAGAGGAAATTTCTTGTATCAGTGCAGTATCTTCAAAAGGACTAGATAAAGCCGTGTTGAGCTCCATCTTCTTCTGCTCAATAATTTTCATGCTATTCCGTTGTTGTGCGCGATTCCAGGCCGAGATAGCACTTCTGGTGTTGGCAAGCTTGTCCGTGACAGAAAGTTGCGGGTGGTCGCTCCACGCATCCTCTATAATTCTTTTAGCTTCATCATTCTTGCAGAGGCGTCTGTCATACCGGAAGACTCCTCTTCTACGTCTACTTCCTTTATCAAAGAAAGAAAGGAGAGGTTTGTGATCCGATCCCTCGAAACCCAAATATTGGCATCTTGCTGATGGAAATACTTCCGCCCATCGGGTGTTTGCGGCGGCCCTGTCAAGCCTGCACCGAACAACGTGGTCTCCTCGTTTACCTCTCCATGACAATGGATCTCCCGAGTGTTGGAGGTCAAACAAATCACCTTCTGAAAAGAAGGTCCTAATATCAGAGTAGGAGTTTTCAGGGCGCTCGATTCCCCCATCTTTTTCCTCACTACATAATATATCATTCATGTCTCCTGTGACGAACCACGAGTCGTCTCGAGCTAAGGACAGTGAAAGTAATTGCTCCCACAATAGTTTCCTCTGCTTCTTATCAGTGTTGCCATACACAAATGAGGAGTAAAAAGTCTTTCCTTCAAATTCGATACTTGTATCAATTACATTGGGAGAAGAATGTAAAATTTGAAGATTGAGTTCTGCTTTCCAAAGTAACGCAAGTCCCCCTGCCCCATGCCCAATTGGTGGGACTAAGTGAGAGCACTCGTAGCGGAGATGCTCCAGCTTCTTGAGGACGACGTCGTTGGGGTTTTTTGATTCCATGAGGAAGATGATATCAGGATCAAACTTTTTCGATATCTCTCCCAATCTTCGAACTGTCCGGGGATTCCCCAAACCCTGACAGTTCCAGCTTGCTATAGCTAAGGAGCGGGGTTGGAATGGACCCGAAAATCCATTCTACGCCTACTGGTCAGTGGAATCATATTGCAGATTGGCATGTTATCAGAATTTGATCCGTCTTCACCTCGCGGACCCCCTGCTCGAGATGAATTACCTTTGCTCTTTCTTGATTTGTCAGCATTTCCTTCTTTAGCCGTAGCTGCTGAACTGTTTTTCCTTCCAGGGGGGGGGGGGTTTGTTGGATAGAACTTTCCTCCTTCTCAGCCCCGCACCTCCCAGTTTTAGTGGACTGGCATTAACTGTTTTTCTCCCTGGAGGCCTTCCTGGTTTTCTTTTTTGTGGAGGGGGAGCAGTCTCAAGATTAATCCGCTCCTCAGATATAGCTTCATCTACCAGAGGGCCTAATCGTTCCATTATTGGAACTCGCGAGGAGGAAGCAATGGCCTTATCGGGTTGGGCTCCAAGTCTCCTGGCAATAGGGGTGCGAGTAGTGCCAGAGTTGGGGAGGGGCGACAGCGGTCTCTCAGACTCACTGACAGGGAAGGAGGATCGAACAACTTGGGCAGCTGTTTCATCCAAAGTACCCTGAGCTTCAGCTTGGCGGAGTCTCTCTCGACGAGCCGCGCTCTCGGAAGGGTCAGCACAGCTAGTGTACTGTAAGAGAGCTCCCCTCACCTCCTTTAGTGACATTCCGGGAGGATCATAAGGTTGAGGAGCCTCTGGTCTTCCAAGGGAATCCCCTCTATAGTTAACAATGGGACCCTCCTCCTGCAGGGTTACACTCTTAATCTTGTTCCGAGCAGGACTAAAGTGAGGTGAGTTAGTTGAGTGGGACACCCCACTGTGTAGATCATGAGCTCGACGAGGAGGGGAAGGCGAGCGTTGGGAGTCATGACGTCCCCCCCCACTGCGGTAGTAGGGGTTTTCATCTCGAGCCCTTGTCCCTCTGTCGCGCCAGTGAGAGTCTCTGGGGTGGTTATCTCGCCGAGAGGTGCGATAGTGAGCATCCTTAGACGATGCATATCGGGAATGAGGCCTTTGTGCATTCTGAGCATAAGGTACATATCTATTGTGGTGTCGTGGTGAGGTTCGCTGGGGACCGCCAGAGAAGCTTCGCGCGGGCTGATGAGGGACCTCCCTATTAGTAACAGATGCCAGACTTCGTTGCTCATCCATTTGTGCTGCAAGCTGAGCCTTCTTTTGATGCTTTTCTTCTAGACAGTCTCGAATTAAGTGGTCCAGACGTCCACATTTCAAGCAATGTTTATCTAGCTTCTCATATTCCAGAATGGCGGTTACTTCATCACCATTAGGATATTCAATGACAGAAGATTTTATAATAGGGAGCCTGCCGTTTACATGAACTCTCATGCGCATACAATGCTGAGAAATTTCAGCCGTTTCGAAAGTACCAATATCTTGGCCTATACTTCGAGCGATTTCCTCTGTCCATAGATGTATTGGAACTCCTTGAATTTTGATCCAAAAGGGAATCATTGAGGGGAAGCTGGGTGAGATAGTGGGCTCCCATCGTTGAATGATCACCATCCACCGAGCATAGTGATATGGGCGTTTCTCAAGGACTGTGAGTAGGTCGGATTCCAACTCAAACTGAAATTGGAACATGCCCTGTCCCAGATCTGAGCCCTCCGGCGGTATATCGGCCTTCCAATGATCTTTGAAGAACGGAATCAGGGACCAAACCTTTTGTACAGATGGGTTTGTTACTCTACCGATGAGAGTGAGGGAGTGTTTCTGTTGTCCCGCGAGGTTCGGGGGTTCGGAGACCCGAACTCTTCCCACCCGAGGAGCTGGTTGATGGTCCAGCTCTACAGCTTTGCCTTTTTCCGAAGAAGAAAGTCTGCGATGCATTGAAGGTTGCTAGGGGTGCGTAATGGTAACAACGAGATAAGGGAATCTTCTACAACTTCTGAAAACGGCAGAAGACGTGAGCTAGCAGAGAAGAAGGGGCTGAGAGAATCTTTACTCAAAGATGATCAAATCAACACTTTGCCCGCCCTGTAACCACAGGGACGGCGGTGACCTTGGAAAGCTAGCAGGGACCAAGCAAGATTCCCTCGAGGCTCTTGCGAAGACCGCAAAGAATGTAGAGAATGGTCCAGAGCAGACCAGGGGAATCCATGGGAGCTGTTAGAGGGGGCGTCCGGTGAGGCAGAGCGGCGGAGGCAGTCCCTCCGACGAGGGTCGGGGAAAAACCCGGAGGATAATGCCCAAGTTTATCTATAGTTTGGCGGATAATGCTTAAAGTGGGAATAATTTGAAAAGAAGGCAGAGTTTTGCAGTGGATCTAAACCATTTCAGGGAATAAACCAACGGTTAATAGGGAGAGGTAGCAAAGTCAAAGGGCTAGTGACCAATCTAGACAATCGTGCCTGGGAGAAAACTAGGAATCCACAGTTGAACAATAATGTTACCCTGGATCTAGAAATGTCCATTCATCTTTAAAGAGCTTATAACCTTTAATCTTGTATTGAGAATTCACTTTTGCTATGAGACTGTGCAAGAAAGGAAGTAAATTAAAGCTATTTACATAACTGCTTCATATGTCTCTTTCTCTAAGGCTTCTTCTTATATTAGTAATCAGAATAATAATCCCAACACATATGATCTCCAAACATCACAAAGAATTCAGACGGATTTAGAATTTTATTTCTCATGGGTTAAGAATATTTTTCTAAAAATACAAAATAATTTGATGATTTTTAAAGGGTTCAGAATGATTCAGAAACAATTATAATATATTTTGGAAGGATTAAAAAAAGAATTCTACTGATTTTGTCATGAATTGATATGCCGCTATTAGTCATGGTTTTGGTCATGAAACTCATACGCATTTTCTGAAGAGTTTAAAAATATTTTTTGATAGGATCAGAAACATTTTATAAAGGGTTAAGAATTGATTCTTAAAAAGTTCAGAATTGATATTTTAAAGGTTTACCATTGATTTTGTAAGGGCTCATAATTGATTTCAGATAGATTCTGAATTTATTTTTGAATGGGTCATAAACATTTTCCGAAGTATTCAGAATTGATTTATGAAGGATGTAGAACTGACCTATGTTGGGTTAAGACCTACATTATGGAGGCATCAGAAATATTTTTTTTGGCGATCTGAATTTTTTTTTTTATTTTTCTGAAGGGTATAGAATGCAATTTCTAATGGGTTTAGAATTTATTTTTAACGAGTTAAGAATATTTTTCTGAAGGAATCAGAAACAACTACAATATTTTTCGAAACTGATTTTTGAATGGCTAAAAATTATTTTCTGATGGTTAAAATATTATTTAAAGGTTTAATAATATTTTTCTAAATGGTTCAGAAACAATTACAATGTTTTCGGACAGGTATAAAAATGAATTTTAAAACTGATTTTAAACCAACTTAGCTATTTATTATCAACTCTCAATATTTTGATCATTATATCATGAATTGATATACGGCTGTTCATGAAGAAATTACTTTCTGAAGTGGTTAGAAATATTTTCTTCTTTTTGAAGGGTCAGAGATAATTTCAAAAAGATCCATAATATTTTTTTGAAAAGTTCGGAAACAACTACAATATTTATCAAAATTCTAGCACTGATTTTAAACCTACTTAATTAACGTATTTCTATATTAACTTTCTAGTTGCGGGATTATCAATATACAATATATCATGAATTGATATATTACTAATTATGAATATACATGAGTCATGGTTTGCTCATAAATTACTGAGACGCATTTTTTTAAAGGGTTTAGAAACATTTTTTTTAGGGTTCGGAAACATTGTTTGAAGGGTTCAAAAACCATTCAGAATATTATTCTGAACCCTTCATCAATCAATTCTAAACTATTCAAAAACCAATTCTAAACCATTCAAAAATCAATTTTGAACCCTTCATCAATCAATTCTAAACTATTCAAAAACCAATTCTAAACCATTCAAAAATCAGTTTTAAACCCTCCAGCTAAACCTTTTAAAAATTAATTCTAAACCTTTTAGAAAATGTTTATTATCCCTTCAAATATAATTTCAAATCCTTCAAAAAATTATTTCGAACTCTTTAAAAATGCTTTATAGTTGTGAAGGGTTTATAAACATGACAACTCACATTTGTCGCTTTAGAATTTTTATCCAATGTCCAGTTTTTGGGATGAGCATCTTAAGGAACAATGTCCAGTTTTTGGGGGTGAGCATCTTATTGAAATAATAATGAGAGTATTCTGGTGATCATAACCGGAGAGGGAAGAAGCTGAAGGGCCTACATATGTTTTTTGGTAAAAAATTCCAATGAAATTTTTCGTAACGTTTTTCTCTTTCTTAAATTCGTGCTTTATTTCAAACTTAATGTATTCATAAACATAAGTCGTTATGAACGTTTTTATGAGCAATTCAGACATTTAAGACTTCTCATTTTATTTTATTTTTCTGTTTGAAGGGAAATGGATTCAAAATATAAAGTCTTTATAAACATCTTTATGTGTCATTAAGATAAGTTGCTGAACTATTCAGAACCTGTTTATGAACCCTATGATAGTTGTTAAAAGAATGATCGAATCAGTTTTTAATTCATTTATGAAATCCTTAAAAAAAAGCGATTAATCTTATCTTCATGAGTGTTGGAAGTCACGTACTGCGCAATCTTGATACGTTTATGACATCAGGTCAAGTTTGAGGACTGTTGGATAAGCTCTATATTGCGAAGGGATACGTTCACGATGCGAGATTCTTGCACCATTGATCAGAACATAGATGATTTCTTGAAGTTGAATGCTAACCTAAGCACTCTAAGCATCAATATTACGGAAGAGGTAGAAGAAATCTTGTTACTCAGTTCTCTTCCGCCCATGTATGATCCCTTGAAAGAAAAATTTTAAATATGGTGTCTAAATTTTTGTAATCAGATTTGTTTGTTAACTGACCAAATCATTGATTTATCCCTGTGATGAGATAAACACTTGCTTTCGATATGCTCAACAAACAATGAGGTGAAAGAACAAGCCCAGGCATATTATAGAAGAACCCGGTTATCATGCCTCATGCACATGAGCATGGTTAAATCATGTAATCCAAACGCAGACAGCATTCTCTATGTCAAATCTGCAAAAATCATAGGCCTTAGAAGCCTAAGACAGTAAACTTAAGATAAAAGGAGTATCCCCGGATGCCAACTCAAACAATGGTGTTTAAAAGTATTAAATCAACTCAAAGCATTAGAGAAACAAAGCTCTTAAGTTATAGGATCATCATCACTCCAGAGACTGATGATCTTTTATATCTCATGTGGTATCGACCCAACATTTAGTAATCAAATGTTAATGTTTTGTTTGTTAATTCATTCAGATATCTCTCAGCCAAATGCACTTGCATGCATGCACATTCAACCATCTTTCAACATTCTGGGTGGAATGAGAATACCTAATCTAAATGATGACTCTAATAAGCCCCTTTCGAACCTAATAAGTTTCAAGTTACGTTGCATGGTGGCATGTTTTAAACATAATTGTACTTTTCAATGAGTCTTTTCCGTATAAACTACTAAGACCATGTTTATTGTAGGTCCCTTAAGTTGGGTCCCTTAGCGTACGGTCCCTTAGCTTTTAACTGAAAATGCTAAGGGACGTCCCTTAAATCCCTTATATAAAGGACGTCCCTTAACGTTTTCAGTTAAAAGGTAAGGGACTGTACGCTAAGGGACCCAGCTTAAGGGACCTGCAATAATCATGCTCTAACGAAATGCGTTACCGGTACCTATGCATCGACTGATCAACAAAACATATTTGAAGAGTCCAGGTTTGCATTATTTTGAATTTATGTTTGTTAAAAACTGCAAACTAGCTAGTACTCACTTTTACCACGTTGATTACTTAAAAGTTTAAAAGTCCATTAAAAGAAACGGCAAGAGATTTTTGGGGGTTTGGCCGAAGCTCGCGTTTTGTCATGTAGTACTTGTCGTTTTAGCATATGTATAAAGCTTAAACACAAATACGACGAGACGTGTAACAAAAGGCTGTGCGGTTCATATGGTTCTAATACAAAATAGAAAAGTTGGACCATGCTGGTGTCATTTGTTTATACCGACTACACTATTCAGTTTCTCGAAACACTACGAATTAAATTAAGTGAATCTAATTATCTAACACAAGTTACACTTCATGCAAAGACAAATCTCTTACGCCTAATTAAACTTGTTATTTTGTTTGTCTTTAAGCAGAATGTTGGATTTTGTCAACAGTTATGTTTGGAGTCTATTCGTTTTGATCGATATGATTAAACTTATCTACGTCGGTTTAACTATTATAAACCAACTAGTTTTTATCAAATATGCGAGCGAGGAAAATTTGACCGTGTGTGTTTGTTTATGCATTTGTTGTAATTAAGAACAAAATTACATGCAAGAATGTTCAAGAAAGAAAGACATTCACTATTCTCATTATCATAACAAAAGATAAGATTGTCATTGATGGCTCCTCTGACCTGAGATATGCGTATAATTGATTGCCTCCAGCCCATAAATTTGTGTCGAGAATCCACGAGTAATTCGCTACATTCCTTTCGGTTTTCGTTTGATTAAAGAGAGAAAAAAAATTCTAAAACAAAAAAATTGTAGAAGATAATTATAAAGTCAAATGATAAGTAGGGAGCATCAGAAACATGTTGGGGTTAAATCACAGGCTTAATGATTTAAGAATAACAATCACCATCATTATCTCGTTATATAGTTCTCACTTTTTTGCTTCTTCTCTTTGTTTATTTATATACCTCTTTATACTTGCAATTTTCTTGTTAGTTAATTTTCTTTTGTCAGATTTTTATTGGTAGAGCATTATTTCCCGTGATAAAAGTGATGGCACCTTTTTTTTAAAAACCCTTGAAACTTTTTTTTTATGTAATCTAGAGTTGGTGAGGTGAAGCTCTTCCTCAAAATAACTTTTCTTCTGATCAGAATTTGGTTTAATTATATGGATAGTTGACAAAAAAAATATTGGTTTGAGAGAGATGTCTACCTCTCTTTCTGTAAGTTACATGTCTTATACTTGAACTAATAAACCATGAACACTTTGTAAGTTTAGTTCAAACTTAAGATTAGTCAACTGATCTAATTGTGTAGTAATCAAGTTTTATAGTAATTCATACAAGATATAAGATACTAGTACTTATTAAGAGTCTAGTTAAACAAATCTAAGAAAGCAAAAAATAGTTATCCAAAAATTAGTCAAAATGTATATTTATTTGCAACTTGTACCTGGTACTCATGATTCCAACTCAAATAATTTTAATTACATTTCATTGTTAATTCAGTATAGTTATGGGAAAAAGTTTAATAAATTTAAAAAGACTTCTCAAAATTCTCAATCTTCTCCATTTCTTCAACACAGACACACATAAAGTAAAACAAACAGACACTCACTGCACACTTCTCAAAATACTTCTCTTTCTTCTCTTCCCTTTCTTCATTGCTTCTCCCTAAGAGCATGTGCATCGGCGTCCTTAGCTGCATATCTTAGTCATTTAATGGCGAAATTTAAATCAATAATAGGCATTAATGTTAAGGACGTCCCTAATTAAGAGACTTTCGGGAGCGTCCTAACGAGCCATGTGGCTGGATGGGAGTGGACGAGAAATTTCTCGTTCCTTCTTTGTATTTGCTGACGGGAAAATTCTCGTTCTTGATCACATCCCCTCCTCCTCCGATCAAAACGATACAGCATTTACTCTTCGCCGTTGTACTCTCCGAGGTCACGCTGATACTCGCGACGGAAGGTGCAATGAGCCCGACGGATGAGGTCATCATGGCTAAACATCTCCTTGAATCGACTCTCATGGGTAAGCGACTCGATTCTCTGGTTAGATCCGGTTTAATGAAACTATGTTGTGGAGGTTGGGATCTTGTAAGTGTGTTGTGGTTACTGTGATGGATCTTGTGAGTTTAGCTCTTGAATTTCCAATTTTGTTACTGATTTTCCTGCACTGATTTGATCAAATTGGAATCTGGAGCGGTTCATATAGTTTCATAAGGCTATGTCTTCTGCTTTGTGTAAACCTTAAGTTGCTGCTTGCTAGTGTGATTGTTTATCTCTTCTCTTCCTCTGTATCAACTTATTATAGTCTAATTGGTTATGGAAGTAGCATATAGTTGATACGTTCCTGTTGTATTGCTTGCGATCTCGTAGCCGGAGCCGTGATTGCGATAAGAAAACAAAGTGATTAGTTTGCAAAGGTTCCTTTAACCCTAGTCTCTATTGAGAATAAGGTTTAGTGATTAGTTTACTCTATTGCTTTGGTAAAACCTTAGTTTATACTTGTTGGAGTGATTGCTTGGCTCTTCTTCTGCTGTGTATCAACTAACTACAGTAAAATTTGCTGTGCAAGTATCCATATAGTCTCCCATAAAAGCTTTTGTTATTTGAAATCATCTTTCAAAGTTCCACTTTGTGCACTGGTAAAGCCTTAGTTGTGTGTTATTCTTCCAGGTGGATTTTTTTTCCTTGGGCTGATGATAGGCAGGCAGCACCACTACATGAGAGAGCTGCGCATGAGAAGGAAGAGAATGGAAGTTATAAAGAAAGAAGGAACGGTTTTGAAAGGTGAGAAAGCCAGAACTTTAGAAGAAGTCAAAAGCTTGAAACAAGAGATCACGTCCCTTGCATTCAGATCATCAAGACTGCCACTGTCCCTGCCAAGCTTTGCAAGAGGGAGGGTACCAAGCAGTTCCACAAGAGATCACATCCCTTGATTTTTGTGGTTCTTGTTTCTTCTTGATTTTGAAGAAAGTCCTTTTTTTGTTTCTTGATTCTTAAGTTGTTCTTTCTAAATAAAGTGCTTGAAAATAAGCAACATTCACAAATAATCAATATCTAGATTGTATATTTGTAAAAATGAGAAGATAACATTGTTATCTAAGAAAAAAAAAATAAACTAAGAACTAAAAATTAAGGACTACCAATAATCTACATTCTTAACTAAGTCCTTAACTAAGTCCTTAACTAAACTATAATAATAAAATAATCTAAGGACTAAAAATTGGGGACAACCCATAATCATGCTCTAAGCTCCATAGGCACACTAAGACCTCTCTTTTGACCTGAGTGAGAGAGAATCCTGCAAAGATAAAAAGGGAAGGCATCATTGAAGCTCTTTACCTCTTTTTTTGTTCACAATCTCTCAACCTAGGCTTCTACTCATTTAAGCAAAAAAAGAAGAAGATGGTTTCATCTAAGAAACATCTTTCTTTCTCCTCCTTAATGCTGGTCTTCTTCTTCGGCTTCCTCTCTCGTCCGTGTCTCTCCGCCACATTTCTCGTCGATGGTGTCTCTGTCTGGAAAACTCCCGTTGTCCATGTCGGAGACTCCGTTAGTAAGTTTCTTTACAAGTACAGTCCATTTATTTCTCCTACTAGATTTTCTCTTAATTAACGTTTTATGGCTGTTTTGTTCTTATGCTTTTAGTTTTCAGACACAAGTACGGGTACGATCTCTACATCTTCAGGACGAAAGATGCATTCAATGTTTGCAACTTCAGTCAAGCCACTCTTCTTACAAAACCTAACTCCACCTCCTTCACGGTATATTTATCTCTTTCTCACACTCACATTTCTTAATTCTTTACAAATTGTGAAATTAATTTGGTTAATTTCTTGAAAGGGTGTAAATATCATATGGGTTTCTCTGAAATTTCATAAAGTTTTGATCTTTACAAGTTCCTTCTTTTTCCTCTCTGTTCTTGAGATTGACAAAGAAAGACTCTGCCTCTGTTTTCCTCTGTTTTATGTCTGAAACCCTTTTTCATCATTAATTTAATAGTTTCAAGTGGATTAGTATTAAATAGAACTTAATCTGATGCTTTGTTCTGACAAAATAATTTAAAATTGATTAAAGTAATAGAATTTATACACAAAAATTTCAAACCTAAATTAGTTAACTTACTCAAAAAAAAAATTAACTTTCACTCTAGTAATCTTATTTATTGTTCCTTAATTAAAACGCAGTGGTACCCATCAAGAACAGGCTCTTACTACTTTTCTTTCAAGAACAACACATCTCATCTCAAGACCTGCCAACTCAACCAGAAGCTCTTAGTTCAAGTCATCCTAGCTGATGCATCTCCGCCGTCGCAGCCACCAACACCGGCAGTCGCTCCTGTTCCTGTCGCGGAAGGAGGAGTGGTCTCATCATCTCCTTCTTACCCATGGCCATTAGGTCCAAGAGAAGGTTCAGCTTTCTCTCCGGGACCATCTCCGTCAGAGATCACATCGGTGTCAGTTCCAGGAGATGGAGTTCCATTCATCAACAGTAATCCGGCGGTTCCACTTCCCACCGGAGATGTTGACTCTACTTCCAATAACCCTTTACCCACTTCCACAAGTTCAGCACATGAGGTAGACTCAGTGCAACAACATAAATATTACTATTTCCTTACAGTACAAATTGATTTTGAATTATAAGAATGTTTGATGTTATGTGTGTGTGTGCAGGTGATGATGACAGTAACGGTGAAGCTAGTTTTGTCTTGTGTAGCCATGTTTCTTCTACTCTAGAGAGAATAATTAGTTGTTTTTTCTTTGACAGTAGTAGCTTTTACAAGGGAGGAATAATTACGTTTTCTGATCTTAGTTGCTAATTACAACTTAAGGTTAATCTTGTAATCATTCATTCTCCCTTTTTGCTCTTTTGGTTAGGATGTCTCTTGTACGTTTCTTAGGGCGATGTGCTATAAATCAATGTGGTTTTTTTCTAATCTCTGTGTGGTCTCCACTAGCTTACTCACTCAAATGTCTCATATTTCTTTTCAGAATGTTGTTACCACTAGAAAATATAAGCATACATATTAATATATTATTAGTCTATAGCTTGCTTTAGTCGACCTGTACTATACACTGACATTTCCTTTAAATTTTACTTTCCGACTATATGATGTAGACATAGATAGTGGGACATTAGATTTAAAATTATATGAAATTTAACGTGAACAAGATTCTATTGATCTTTTGCACTAACGGGACGAGTGAGACATTAAATTAGACTAGTAGCCGTTATATTTCGTGAATGCATGAAGACAAGTAATTGACTTAAGACAAAGAGGAGGGAAACAAATGGAAGTAGCCGACCGTTGAGTAATGAATATGCACTTGTGACTTGTGAGCTCTTGAAAAGGAAACCATTTGAATTTCATGTGACAAATTTAATTATAGCTTGTTCTTAATGAGTACAATGACAAAAAAAGAACGGTATGGTCATTATTCATTACAGAAAATTGAAACAAAGATGGAAATTAACTATTATGTAGATTTTGGTTTGTATTTTTCATACATTTTCTTTACAAAACTCAATAATCCAGCAATGATAAGCCTGACAAACGAATTTGCACTGGTTGAAGCCAGAAGCTATGGCCAAAGCTTCAAACTCAGCTCGTGACCTCTCTTTCCCACCGGAACATTGGGTGAACATTAACATATCCATGTCAAATGCAATGTTTGCGTTGATATCACCATTCTCCACATCATCAGGAGTGACTAGCTCTATGACAACAACTTTACCATTTTCTGGTAGTGATTTCCAACAGTTTTTAAGAATTTTTATACAGTCTTCATCAGTTCAATCATGAAGTATACGCTGTAAAACGAATAAAAACGCAAAAGTAAGTACAAAGTAATAAGTTTGTTATTAGAGAAAAGAGTTGTTGAACTTACTTTCAAGATCATGGCATCTCCAGTTGGAACATCAACAAACATATCTCCAGCCACATGTTCCACTCCAGGGTAAGAAGGTGCTTGTGCCAAGGCACAAGTCAGATCAAAGTTGATACCCTTAATATGAGGATATTTAGATGTAACAACACCAAGGGTGTTGCCAACTCCTCCTCCTACATCAACCAACACATTCACATCTTTAAAGCCTTGGTACACTTCAAGAGCCTTCTTCACAACCGCAATTGTGAATCCGGTCTGGTTAAAGAGCTTGCTGAATCTCTCATCTGTTCCCATATAGTCGAAGAGTTTCATGCCACCATGTGCACGCCCAAACGCATCTCCTCCTTCTAGTACCACATCTTTCAATTGTGCCCTATAATTCACAAATAGATAAGGTACACTTCTATAAGCTATAAATAAAGATCCTAAAATTGATGACAAGAAAATTGCTACCCTTATAATTTTTGAAAATTGATGTATATAATAATACTAATTTTGAAAATTACCAGGTGTTAAGGAAGACGGTGTCAAAATTGACAATGACTTGGGAAGCAAGTGATCCAATGTCTTGAATGTTATCTTTCAAGAAAAACCTACAAATTGGCTCGGCTCTGTAGACTCTCTCGCCCTTTCCGTCTTGGACCGTACCACACTTGACCATGGAATAGCTAGCGAGTAGACGAAGCATCCGGTCCAACAAAGCTGGGGCCTCAGGGTTACGTGGTGTAGTTGGTAGCCTACTCGCTATCTCAGATGGTGAGAGGAACACAGAGGCTGCGTAGAGAGTGTCAAAGACACCGAGCTCGAGGGCAGCTTTGAGAACCATGGGAAAGGCTGCAGCATTGGCTAGTCTCACGGCCATCAAACCCAACTCATTATCATCATCAATAACAGTTTGGGTTTTAGGGTTAGAGCTTACGGTTCCTTCAAAAAGGATTCCCATTTTTTTTCTTTAATTATCTTTTTCTTTCGTCTCCCTCACGGTATCGTAAGTGACCACACTGATAAGCGAATACAGAGAGAGAGACGCTGATGTGTGTGTGTTTTTTTTCTATGTAGTGTTTGAGGAGGAGGATGATTTGATGGATCTTTGTTTCTTCTTTTTATAACCAAGGCTTAGGCCGCTTCTCTTTTAGTTAATTTCAATTAATAATATTGGTGGCGTGCCGATTCATTTGGCAGGCTGAATAGTCCTCTTAAGCAAGAGCCATTTTTGGCGGCTGAAACAGTTAAGTGTTTGTTTCAAGTCAGTTGGTTTATAAAGTCAATGTTCAAAGGAGAGACTCACTTTAATATAATCACTGTGGTCGAGAGTATGTTTTTCTTCAGTTAGGACCGTCTTTAGTATCTGTAGCTGTAAAAGTGTAGCGGTCAAAAAATAATCTGAATTTCATAATTTTTAAATGTATAATTTATAATAAAACTTATTTTTTTGTTGTAAATATACTTTTAAAACTAGGTACTTGCCCGCACCTTGTGCGGGGAATATATGTCCAACAATATTAAATGTGTTTTCGTATTAAAAAATTTCATCATAATGATAATTAATATATAATATTTTTAATGGGTTAGTTTTTAATTTTAAGCGTTAGAATATAGACCATATTTCACTATATCTCATATACTTTATATTTTTGTTTCTCTTTTTTTTTGTTCTTTCTCCTTTTTCCTTTTGCTCTCTTTTTTCTATTTTCTGATTTATACTATGAAAATAAATCAGAAACTCAATTATAAAACCAAATCAGTTGTAATCCTATTCCGAAGCTTCTAAGGTTATTAGGTTTTGCTGTTAAAATATGAGTTTGAAGGTCAGTATACTAAGACTTTAGTGGGTTTTATGGTTTGGTTTGGGTATGCGCATTCAGTTTGATTTTGGTTCAAATATTTTGGGTTCGGTTGGTTATTTCAGTTTTCAGTTCGTTTAGGGTAGCAAAGTTAGGAACCGGATAATATTAGGAAAAATTTAGGTCTAGTTTGGTTCCACTTAGGAGGGTAATTTCTGATAGTTTAGAGTTTTTCAGGTTAAATATCAATTAATTCGAGTTGTTTGGGTAAAAAATATCGGGTTATTCGGACAATTTTAAATATTTGAAGTTTAAAATATTCAGCTAAATACTATCATCAAGATAATCTTCACATGGATGAACTGTCATCCTACAGGTACAACACGCAACAAAATACCACTTTGGAGTAGTTTCAATGGAAATAAAGTGTAACACATTTTCCCACCTATAGAAACAAACAAATAACCTCACATAAAACTAAATTCATCAATAACTTCAGTTGACATCCTTTAGTTGTAACCAGAACTATTTAGTAAATGGAACATACCTCATTCGATACATTCAATGCACCGAAAGTTTTTACTGGATTCTTAATGAAAAACTCATCATATAAATCTACTCTTATAGGCGTAGATTTTGGATCAAAGTTTTCTCTAGTAATAGCCAAATCATCATTGGGCAATTTGGATTTGGAGTCGAGCACTTCTTGTAGTTGTGGATCAAAAAGAATTTCAGTGGCATTGAATACATTAGAAACAATAACAGCTCCTAAAACATCAACATAATTACAAAAAAAAAACAAAAATATTATCAGCAATTTAGATGTTAGATTCTGTGGAAAGAAATACCTCTAAATTCTCGCACACAAACAAATCAAGCAATACAAACAATACATGATGCTTCATTAGATTTAAAAAAATCTGATACTTCCTTTGCATACCCAGACCACAACGTACATGTTAAACGTGTATCACTAAATATTTAAAACAATATAAGATTATTAAAATAAAATAATATAAAATTAAAAGCTGAATAAAATTTACGTAATGTCACGAATTGTTAATTCCAGCTTGGTTGTTGACTTTCCTTTTGCCATGAGATCTTCTTAAGGTCCAACATTCACAACTTCACCAATAATATCTAAAACACAAACATTAGAATAATGAACTGGTGAAAAAGAGAATATAAATAGGGACACATCAATTTAAAATACTATGATATAGAAAATTTACCGATCAAGACTTCTTTTTCATACTCACATCCTAATATTTCTTTAAAATCTTTGAAATAATTATTTGGCAACTCTTTTGGAAAATCATCACAAGGAGTGATTTTGGTTGTTTTATAAAAGTTAATCTTAAAAAGGAAGAGGATTCGTTCTATATTCTCTTGTATAATCACTGATGGTAAAATTATTCAGAATAAAAGAGTCTCCTTGAAATAACTTAGATTTGAAGTTACTAAGAGAATAATGCTTTTGTATTCTTTTGTTTAGATTCTATTAGCTCTCGATAATGACTAAGTCAGCGGCGCATAATCAATATAATAACCAACTAAAATATTTTGATAATGCTTTTGGTCAAACATGTATTTTACCGGACTATAATCAATATAATAACCAACTAAAATATTTTGATAATGTTTTTGGTGAAACATCTATTTTATCGGATTATTATTAGTTAATGATTTATAATAATCAACAAAAAGTTAAAAACATGTTAGATAAGTATTATGAATGAAAATATTATGAAAATATGATTTAAAACTAAAGATTATGAAAATTACCTAAAATCAAGGAGGACATGACACCTCAGCAAAATTACTTCTTAAATAATAGTATAGATTAATCTTTATAATTTCCAAATATTAGACATATATAAACGAAGCTATTAATTTTTTTTTAAAGCTATTAACTTTTAAACTACATTGTTATTTCATTTATATTTTTTGAATATGATCTAAAATAATTTGAGACGATAATGAATATACGTATAACTGCCACTTGATCAGAACGATTGCGACAATAGGAAGGCAATAAAAAGAAGTTTCTTCAGTTCTGAGTGTAACATTACGTTGACCTTTATGGCCTCGCCTCCATCATGAGTTGTCCTTCCACGAAGGTCAGTAGGTCACAGGTATTTGGATTGTCAAACATCATTAACTATATTATCTAGGACTCAATGATCAGAATTTAATTTAGAATTCATTACACCAATTAATCATAAGCTACCTGAGTGTTTTTCTTCTACAAGCAGCCCTACCTATCATGGACCTTAAGTAAATTACAAAGGTGTTACGTGTGCGACCCAAACTGCATGGTTATAAATGGTGGTAGCCTGGTAGGTGACGGCGTGACGCAATGAGTGGTTATGGATAGGAAAGTTGCATATTTCTTTTGAAAAAAAAGATAATAATTCAAATAAATGACATCACAAGAAAACAAACTCTAATTTTGTACTTTCCTCCTAAACCATATGCGAGCATGTTAATAAAATATCTAATAAATGTATAAAATTTGTAATTATTTTTTCCCATGGTTTCAAACCAATAAGAATATAATAAGTGCAGTTAATTTTTTTTTTAAAATATAGATTGAATGAGAATTGTATATGTTCCTCTCTTTTGGTACATCGTTTCCAACGGGATTTGTTCTTGTAATTAGCTACTCCCTCTGTTTCATTATAAGTGTCACTCTACAGCTGTGCACACAAATTAAGGAAACAATTAATTTTACATATTTTCTATATAAAAACACAATTACCCATACACCTAACCATATTTTAACCAATAGAAAAACAAATTACACAATAAAATTAATAAATTTTGCATTGAAAACCAAAAACGACACTTATTTTGTAACGCAAAAAAATCTCTACAACGACACTTAATATGAAACAGAGGGAGTAACAAGCTAGATTATTCAACCACTTTAATAGGAATTTGCCAGCGGTTTGTGTTTCTCATTTTATAGGTCATTAAGCGTCATTAAGCTTAGACTCTTCTCTCTTTAATTTATTACTCTCTTCGTTTAAAAAATTGTTGATGTTCTGATTAAATACACAAGAATTAAGACATACAACTTTTCCTAAAAATTAACATTAAAATATAAACTAAAACTAATTTAGCCCATCATCATAAAGAATTTTAACATACTATTGATCACACAATTTTCAAAAAAAAATTGAAATCAATATAAAAATTAATATCAAAATTCTTCAGAATAAATTTTATTCTACAACAGTTCCATTAAAATAGATATCACTGGTTGGCCGTCCATCTGAGTGGCTAGATGGTATATGTAGAGAAAATCTAGCTTTACAGAGCTTTTGAGGACGATGATTGCTTATACATTTGTAAGAGTAAAAGGTGGGTAAATCTGAATTCAATTAATTAAAACTGGTTCCAAGAGAAGATACAGTGATAAATTAAATGCTTTTATTGCTTGAAACTGTATTACATCAAGAAAAGGAATTGATAAATTACATGGAATTAACCATTAATTTAAAACATTTCATTTACAGAACTCAATAACCCAGCAGTGATAAATTAAATGCTTTTATTGCTTGAAACTGTATTACATCAAGAAAAAGAATTGAAACATTACATGGAATTAACCATTAATTTTAAACATTTCATTTACAGAACTCAATAACCCAGCAGTGATAAGCTTGGCAAACGAATTTGCAATGGGTGAAGCCAGATTCTGCGGCTAAAGCTTCAAACTCAGCTCGTGACCTCTCTTTTCCACCGGAACATTGTGTGAACATCAACATATCCATATCAAATGCAATGTTCGAGTTGATATCTCCACTCTCAGCACTTTCAGGAGTGACTAGCTCTATGACAACCACTTTACCATTTTCAGGAAGTGATTTCCAGCAGTTTTTAAGAATCTTCACGCAGTCCTCGTCGGTCCAATCATGAAGTATACGCTGTAATTCAAATACAATCAAAAGAAGTAAGTACAAAGTACATACACTTGAATATGTGTTATGATAAGAGAGTTATTAAACACACCTTCAAGATCATAGCATCTCCGGTTGGAACATCCACAAACATATCTCCAGCCACATGTTCCACTCCAGGGTAAGAAGGTGCTTGTGCCAAGGCACAAGTAAGATCAAAGTTGATACCCTTAATATGAGGATATTTAGATGTAACAACACCAAGGGTGTTGCCAACTCCTCCTCCTACATCAACCAACACATTCACATCCTTAAAGCCTTGGTACACTTCAAGAGCCTTCTTCACAACCGCAATTGTGAATCCGGTCTGGTTAAAGAGCTTGCTGAATCTCTCATCTGTTCCCATATAGTCAAAGAGTTTCATGCCACCATGTGCACGCCCAAACGCATCTCCTCCTTCTAGCACCACATCTTTCAATTGGGCCCTGTGAAAGTGGGTACCAGTAAGAGTAAGATTTATTGTATTTAAAATGATTGTTGTAATAACTTCCTATTTATGAATAGAAAATTACCAGGTATTAAGGAAGACGCTGTCAAAATTGACAATGACTTGGGAAGCAAGGGATCCAATGTCTTGAATGTTATCTTTCAAGAAGAACCTGCAAATTGGCTCAGCTTTGTAGACTCTCTCCCCCTTTCCGCCTTGGACCGTATCACATTTGACCATGGAATAGCTAGCGAGTAGACGAAGCATACGGTCCAACAAAGCTGGCGCCTCAGGGTTACGTGGAGTAGTTGGTAGCCTACTTGCTATCTCAGATGGTGAGAGGAACATAGAGGCTGCGTAGAGAGTGTCAAAGACACCAAGCTCGAGGGCAGCTTTGAGAACCATCGGAAAGGCTGCAGCATTGGCTAGTCTCACGGCCATTAATCCCAACTCATTATCATCATCGATAACAATTTGGGTTGTGGGGTTAGAGGTTTCTTCCAAAAGGATTCCCATTCTTTTTTCCTTATTATAGTTCTTTCTTCTCCTTCAAGGTACCTTGGTGATCACACTGATCAGAAGCAAGGAAACAGAGAGATAGAGAGTGGGTGTGAGTGTATTTGTTTCTTCTGTGTAGTGTTGAGTATGATGAATTGATGGATCTTGGTTCTCCTTTTTATAGCTAAAGGTGCTAAGGCTTAGCCTCCTCTCTTTTCATTTAATTTATTTTTCATAATTTATTTAATTTTATTGTCGGCTTGCTGATCCATTTGGCTGGCTGAATAGTCTGAGTCTTATGTAGAAAAGTAAGAGCCAGTTTTGGCGGCTAAAACAATTAAATTTTGTTTTAGGTTAGTTGTCATTTTTTTTTAGATAGAAGTCAAGGCATTTTAATATAAACACTATGATCAAACCAAGTGACTATATAAATTCGTCTTATTGTTTGCAGATTAACGTCACCTATAGAGAAAAAAATCTTAGGAAATTTCCAGTTTGTTTTGTATTTCGTTTTTCAACTTGACCAACATGATAATATTATAAGACTCAGAGAGATGAATGTGCATAACTCCCACTTGATTAGGACGAGTGTGACTAAGGAAGGGGACAACCATTTGGATCGAAGTGAGTGAACATCACAAGTGTCCTTTATGGCCTACACCTTAATTTGTCTATCAGCTATTAAGTTCAGACATTGTTGTCAAACTTAATTATTATTATACCATATAGGACTCAGTCAGCATTTACAAAACTGAATTCTTTTGCTTGAAGTAACCATATAAAATGATTTCTCAAAAAAAAAAACATAAAATAACAAGTCAAGTTACAAATTAAGTTTATAAATGTCCAACTCCAAGCGAAATTGCCTTTTTTCTGAGAAAAAGAAATCAAAGGCAATATAACTAATTTATATACGGTTGATAAAGAAGGTTTCATATATATCGTACAAATATATATATATATATATATATATATGCGCTTAAATTTATGAAATAACAACAAGCTACTTCTATTTTTAATTTTCGTCAAAAACCATATAAAATATACGTTTCATTTTATATTTGTACCAGTATAAAATCCAATATGTAAATAATTGTTTTTAAATATAATAAAAATATTATCTCTAAATACTTGAAAAAATGAAATATTAAATTAGAGAAGTGCCTAGTTTGTGTGAGTTTTGTGAGCTCTTCAAAAAGAATTTCATGTGGCTAATTAGATAAAATTGGTTCTTAAAGAGTACAATGAGAAATTATATTGCAAAAAGCTTATTATTATTTCACATTTCTTGAAACACACAAATGTATGATCATCACAAACAAAGAATTGGAACCGAGATGAAACTAAACATTTAAAGAGGTTTTAGTTTTTATATTTTACACATCTTTACAAAACTCAATAATCCAACAGTGATAAGCTTGGCAAACGAATTTGCACTGGTTGAAGCCAGCAGCTGCAGCCAGAACTTCAAACTCGGCACGTGACCTCTCTTTTCCACCAGAACATTGGGTGAACATCAACATATCCATATCAAAGGCAATGTTTGCGTTGATGTCACCATTCTCTGCGTCATCAGGAGTGACTAATTCTATTACAACAATTTTACCGTCGTTTGGTAGTGATTTCCAACAATTTTTAAGAATCTTCACGCAGTCTTCGTCGGTCCAATCATGAAGTATACGCTGTAATACAAAAATAATACCTTCAGTAAGTTCAAAATACATACGATGTCAAGAAATATGAATAATAAGTTGATGAACTTACTTTCAAAATCATGGTATCCCCGGTTGGAACATCAACAAACATATCTCCAGCGACATGTTCCACCCCAGGATAAGAAGGTGCTTGTGCCAAGGCACAAGTCAGATCAAAGTTGATACCCTTAATATGAGGATACTTGGAAGTAACAACACCAAGGGTGTTACCTACTCCTCCTCCCACATCAACCAACACTTTCACATCTTTGAAGCCTTCATAGACGTCAAGAGCCTTCTTCACAACCGCAATTGTGAATCCGGTCTGGTTAAAGAGCTTGCTGAATCTCTCATCTGTTCCCATATAGTCAAAGAGTTTCATGCCACCATGTGCACGACCAAATGCATCTCCTCCTTCTAGCACCACATCTTTCAACTGTGCCCTATAATTCACAAATCCATAGGATAAACTTTCATATAAATAAATATTCTAAAATTAATGCAAGAATTTTTACTCAAATCAGTTTTGAAAATTACCATGTATTGAGGAAGACGCTATCAAAATTGACGATGACTTGTGAAGCAAGGGATCCAATATCTTGAATGTTATCTTTCAAAAAGAACCTGCAAATTGGCTCAGCTCTATAGACTCTCTCGCCCTTCACGGTCGAGCTCTTACCGCACTTGACCATGGAGTAGCTAGCGAGTAAACGAAGCATCCTGTCCAACAAAACCGGCGCCTCAGGGTTACGTGGTGTAGTTGGTAGCCTACTCGCTATCTCAGATGGTGAGAGGAACGAGTCGGTAGAAGCAGCATCAGCGTAGAGAGTGTCAAAGACACCAAGCTCGAGGGAGGCCTTGAGAACCATGGGAAAGGCTGCGGCATTGGCTAGTCTCACGGCCATCAAACCCAACTCAGTATCATCATCAATAACAGTTTGGGTTTTAGGGTTAGAGCTAGTTTCTTCAAAAGGGAACCCCATTTTTTTTTCTTTGTAGTGTTAGGATATGATGATTTTAGTATATTTCTGATGCATCTTTCATTCTCCTTTTATAGCTAAAGCTTAGATATTTCTTCTCTTTATTTAACTTCACTTAAATTATTGTTGGCTCGCCGGTCCATCTTGGGTGCTGAATAGTCTCTATATGTGATGTATCCTCGAAAAGTAAGAACCAGTTTTGGCTACTGAAATCTTGTTTTGAAGTCAGTGGATTTAGTCAGAGTTTCAAAGTAGAGATCATTCAATCTAAAGTTTATTACTATAGACGGGCCAATTTGTTAAAAAAATATATCCTTTTGCTAAATCACCTGTTCAAAGTCCACAAACTAGTTATTAAAAACAACAATGATTTTATATTAATTATCTCTTTTGTTGTTTATGTATTTATTCAGTTTGATCCACATGGTGTGTCAATTATTTAAAACTACAACGGTGCATATTAGCAACCACTTAATTGATCACGACAACTACGGAGTTGAAACAAGCAAAATACCAAGTTTTTCTTGGATACTAAATTAATTTATTAATTATTATTATTATTATTACTATTATTTTGGAGGAAGGGCATTCTAAATCAATTTCCCCTATTATCCTTACTTTGTGTTTTTTTCCTTCAATTTGACAAATAAATATAAGGAAATATTTCTAAACCTTTTAACATTTGCACCCAAAAAAATATTTCTGACATTTAAACCACAAAAAAAAAATCTTAAAAACAAGGTCCGTTGTCTCAAGCTCTAACGTATATTTTTAGTCTAAAGCTCTAACGTATATGCCCTGTATATTTCAATCTGCCACTGTTATTTTTAAATCGTTTCCAACCTTTCAGATGCGTCAATTAATTTATTGAAAATACAAAAAGAGAGAAAATCCTTCTCATCTTAGTGCCTCTCATAAACTTTCCGGAGGGAAGTATTTCCTACTGATATAGAGAATCTGAGATGTCTTTTTATTTAAATGTTCTGTTCATTATTTTTCATATAAAATGTATCATTAGGGGATGTTTCTTATGGTTGTGTCCATTTTGACTGCACAAATGTGTGGGTAGTCAAGGCAGTCATGGCCCATGGCAAGCCGAAATTTGCACAGAAATTTTCACGAAAATTCACTCAAATTGGATTTATATTAGGAACTTGTCAATTGGACTTATTTTATTTATTATTGTAGAAAATATTAATATGAAAGATGGTGACCTTAATTAATATCTCATTCTCTTTTTTTTTCTGTCAACATTATCTCAATCTATTACTCAATCCTTTAGGAATGGCTATTTATATTATAGCCCATTGCTTAATTTGTCTCGTATATCATCAACCCCCACATTAAGTTCGGCCCATTTATAATAAGCCCATTTGTGTTCTTCCCAACTACATGAAATGACTGAAGAATTGCAATTTGGTTATTTAAGATTTGAATGGAAATGTTTTAATCATTGCAAAAGAACCTTGTCAACCCTACATTTTTTTATCTATTCAAGTATCATCTATGTGAAACACATATTAACTATTGACTTAAACGCAATTTAATTAGAGTCGTCTTAACTAATAACAATAAATATACTATATGTGATTCAGCGTCTTGTGAGTAGAGCTCGGACAAGGACCACACGAGTAAAGTTGGAGTCCATATCCATCGGCATCAATATAAACGGCATGCACAATGACATCATTTGCACTACATTGGAGGAAATAAGGGATCGGTACAGGTTCACATTATGTTTATTTAGGATCAGTATGTTTCATATTGGTACATAATGTACGTGATTTTAACATTTCTTTTCCTAACACTAAATTACGAGTATAAAAATCGCTTTAATTTAGAATCAAATAAAAAATGCGGTCTTTGTAGTTTTGTGATTTAGTGTTTTCTTACCATATAAGCATGTCCAAAATCATCAACAATTAATTGGAATGCGGTTGGTTAGAGAAAATAAATAGCAAATTACTGCTCATATAGGTAAATGATGATATGACTTTCTCTATATATATATATATATATGTGTGTGTGTGTGTAATTCTTTAACATAACAAGACTTGAATATATCTGATAATTCCAGTGATCTGGCAATGAACCCAATTAATTCCAGAATATGCCCAACAACGTTTTTTAGAAAGGGTTAACGTTTTCTTGAATTCGGTATAGTTGAATGAGTTTACAACTTGTCCTCTTATCAAATCAAACTCCATTAGCCGTTGGGTTGGTTGATATATATTATATTATATACTTTTGGTTATACAAATTCAATATTCGCAAATGGTGAAATGAGCTGGCATATATGTACGTAGGCGACTACGTATGCATGCATACATCTCAAGAAACATAATACGTAGATTTGTAACAAGTGATGATGATGGTGAAGTCTAGTGCTATTCGTGTGGCAACCACACTCTTCCCTCTTTCTTTATATTATATATCCAACTCTTTCCATTATTTTATCTCCATCAAAATGTATTTCTCAGTGCTCTCCAATTCACCAATCCATCTATTTTTATTTATTTTATACATATCAACAAAAAGTAATTTTTTTGGTTCATTATCTACTATCAATTTGTTGTTTATGATTTTAGCTTGCAGACGGCTCTAATTGCTGGGTCGAAGAATTATAGTGTGAAAAGCATCAGATTCAAATTTGATCCCCTTCATATACATAAGCTAGTTGGATTATACTGTTTAATATTTAAATTGTCCATTATGTGTCCGTCTTTAAGTAGTGGTGCTGTATATATTAATCCATTCATCCTAATGACTCCATATTTGTTTTTGAAGATTACTAATGAATTCATCTTTTATTAAATATATATTGAACATGTGGTTTAGATTATGATTACACTTATCAACCGGTGGCCCTATCAAAATGTATGTGTATATTATCCATTGATCTCTTTTGGTCAAACACTAATAAACTTACAGAGAACGGCTAACAAATAATACAGACAGTATATATGTGTGCTTGATTTATCTCCTTTTGTTTTGCGTTCATTTCTTGTCGAGAACAAAAGTATAATCAACCAACAGAAAGTAAAAGGAAGACAGAGTTGTTTTATTTTCTCTTTATAGAAAAATGCTTTCCAGGTTCCGTGTAGTAAGAAAAAGGAAACAAAAAAGAATAATAGAAGAAAATTAATCAGCCGACTACTAATAAGTAATTAAGTTTGTATTATTTAAGCATCACAATGAATAATTTAAGAATTAAACAACGAAGGAAAAATGTAATCACTAATTTGAGAAAATCTGAAAACTTTTTAAAAGCTCTTTATTTATTTTAGGCAGAATGGATTAACCACCAATCAAACCCCGATTGAAATTCTACAATTTAAAAACAAAGTAAGAACCTTAATACGAAGCTGTTTATATTTTACGTTAATACACACTCGCTGAATCCTTTTGCTCAATTGTTTAGAGAAAAATAATTAAAGCATTTTCGGAATTTGAATATGGTGCTTTAAGTCAATATGATAATATGTACTTGCCAAAAGAAAACCTAATTTGTCATATTTGTATTTGGTAGTATATGAAAGAATGAAGAACTAAATCATTATAGGTTTAACAAAGTTTTAATAGTGGTCAACAGAGTTCGTATATCACCGGTAGGTCACCGTTAAAGAAGTTGGGTTTCATTTTTATTTATTTTTTTCTTATTTTTCTGTCAAGAAGACATGTGCATGGCTATGAATCATGAAGTCGCTAGAACAATTCATACCCTTTCGGTCTCACATGTTTATTTATTTTTGACCTTCACGAATAAAAGAAACTGGCAAAACACACAAATCCCTAAGAAAAGATAAACCAGAAAACAAATGTGCGTGGTTTCACATTTCTTTCTCGTTGTATTTCAATTATTATTGATATTATGCTCATTTTTTTTGCTAGAAAATTAGTTAGTTTCAATTGAGATCGGTTTTGGGTATATTCTTATGCCAAGTATCGTATGCTTTAACTTTACCGATCGTACGCGCAAATCCACTTTAATTTTATTTCTAAAACTTTATTTGTTCATTTCAAACATGTAATCACAGTGCCAAAACAGTTAGATCTTTGCCAAAATCAATATTCTAATTTTCTTGAAAATACTGTATAGAATAGTACCATCATTACACTAATTTCCATGCAATCAGTGTTTATCAATAGTAATACTAGTGGTCACGAAGGTACCATCATTGCGGTATTCATTTTTATTTAGTGTTTCTAATTATATATAAGACACGATACAGTTTTCAAATTCATTTTCGAATAGAGTCCATAATTCGTCGGTGTATAGGTCGGTCTAACCGTAACAAAGAAACTCAATAAGAAATGTGCCAATCAACTTTTTGTTTAAGGATATGTATAAATTGCACGAACGATCAACATACTGTATTTTTTTGTTTTTTTTTCTTTGCCAAATAACAACATACTGTATTCTTAGCTAGGGCTTTCTAGATACAGAAGAACAAATTTCTTCTTCACAGTTTCAGCTCACTTCATCATCTCAAGCCATTAACTTTGGAATACACATAGAAGTTGTGATAACCAAGTTTTCTGTGTTTGGTAAAAAAAATCAAGCTTTGAAGATTATTAATTAAGGGGAAAAAACAATACTAAGAGTAAAAGAGGTCGGTGTTACTTAGTCCACATTTTGGCCAATATAGTAAAATTATTTCTTTAACTGGTAGAGATGCTCCACATATATTATTAATTGATCAAGCTCTATGTTTGGTAAACAAAACTCATTTTTGAATATATAGTTAATGAAAACAAATTCAGTAACAAGATGAAAACACGTAGTGATTAATTTTCAGTCCAAATCTGTCCAATATAGTAAAAGTATTTCCATTAGTTGTGATGATGGGCCACATATACGAATTCTCGACTCCACCACATAATATTCTTTATGTTTAAATAATGTTTCACACGAAATCTCTCCATAAATAGAACTCAACCTAAGCGTGTGTTCTCCACACTTCATCAAACATTCTCTTATCTTCTCATTTCAACATACAAAAGAGAGTAAAAGAAAAACCAAATCATTATGGAGTCCCACAACGTGAACAACAGCTTGAACGTAGACATGGAGAAAGATCAAGAAAAAGCTTTTGACTTCTCCAAAAGAGCTCAGTGGCTACGAGCCGCCGTCCTCGGTGCCAACGACGGTCTTGTCTCCACGGCTTCGCTTATGATGGGTGTCGGTGCGGTTAAGGGAGACGTTAAAACCATGATGTTATCTGGTTTCGCCGGTTTAGTCGCAGGAGCTTGTAGCATGGCGATCGGAGAGTTTGTCTCTGTTTACTCTCAGTACGACATAGAGGTGGCTCAAATGAAAAGAGAGAGCGGAGGGGAGATAGAGAAAGAAAAGCTTCCAAGCCCGATCCAAGCGGCTGCTGCGTCTGCGTTGGCGTTTTCTCTTGGAGCGATTGTGCCTTTATTGGCGGCTGCGTTTGTGAAAGAGTATAAAGTGAGGGTTGGAGTGATTCTGGCGGCGGTGACGTTGGCTTTGGTTATGTTTGGGTGGTTAGGAGCGGTTTTAGGGAAAGCACCGGTGGTTAAGTCATCGGCTAGGGTTTTGATTGGAGGATGGTTAGCTATAGCCGTTACGTTTGGTTTGACCAAACTGGTCGGGTCACATGGTATGTGATAGCTTGTATGTGTGTGTGTGTTTACATACGTGACCGAACACTTTTCATGTTTCATGCAACACACTGTAAGCGGTTACGTTTCATTTTTATGTAAGAAACTTTGGAATATATGGATTCATGAATCATGACTTGTTTTTAGATTTATGTAAACAATTAAAGCAAATATGCTTGTAAATCTCTCAATTGACGTTTTTCTTAATAATGATAAATGGCGTGTTGAGTCTTTTTAACACTTGTAGGTCCGTCTAATTAACAAACGGGAAGATTGCCGTAAATTTTGTTTCCATTTGCATTCTAATTTTACTCGAAAAACTGGTAAACCATAAGTTTAAGGAGCAAACAAATACAAAAATTTAATATATATTGGATACAAACGTAATAATGAATATAAAGTATAAAATTTATCCAGACTCCAATATAAAAATGTATATTATCTTTTTGTCAAAACCTCGTAATTAATCCGCCAAAATAACACTGAATTGGTTCGTAGATATAACCCGTTAGGAATTATAAGTTTATAACTATATGTCATCTACTACTACTACTAGAGCCTACTAATTAATTAAACTAGATGCATAGTCTCCGCGCTTGATACGTTGTTGATGTGTTGTGTAGTTTTGTGTATAAGAATTTGCTATTTTTTTTTTAACATTTGTTTATCTGACTTATCTATAATGGTGATGAATGAAACATTAGAAGTCACACAACTTGATTAGTGTGATAAGAGAATAAACATCAAATTCATATGGGTTGATATTTTCATATTTTATCTTCGTAGTGATTTTATCAAGCATTCCCTTTATTAGTGATTTTATCGAGCATTACTGTTATTAGTGATTTCATGTAAAAAAATAATTTAATGGAGACAAGACAAAAAAAGACATGTGTTTATTAGTGTAATTTTCTTTCTGAAATTATGTTGTATATATATATATATATATATATTTTTTTTTAATTGTGATGTATATGGGATTTATGGTCAATCTGAATGGTTCGGGGTAAATATTTATTATTGAAAATATGTTTTTATTTTATTTGATGATTATAACTGAATTGAAATGATATTGGAGGTTAGAACATGATAACCTTTCTTATAAAATTATCTAAGATGATCTCATAAAGTTTCAAATCCTTAAGCCATTTTGTATCCCAACAACCAGCATAAAAAATCATTATGAATCTCCCTAAGCTTTTAGGTATCCCGAAAAGCCCAAATGGAAAAAAAAAATTACATGCGCACTCGCAGTACAAACTTCTCATCATCAACTTAAACCACTCGGCCAAATCTTTATTCGTTGATAACATTCAATCTTAAAAAATCTTATACGTTTTTTTCCCTAATAACACAGACGCGGGACCCGCAAGTTTGCTGACGTGGACAGCCTTAGAAGCTTCAAAAGTGAATCATTATTATATAGATTGTGCATTCCATTCTTGCCTAAGAAAATAAATAATACTAGGTGTTTTGCCCGCACTTGTGGACCTAAACATTTTATAATTATTTTACTAATATATTTTTACTAATTGAAAGATTATAATGATAAATTATTATTTATGTTTTTTTTAAACCCATAATATTCATATTTTCATTTAAACATTCTTACATATATTTCTTTGTATATTATATTTACTATTAAAAATAAATCTTAAAATCAAATAATATTTTTAGTTATATAAAATTAAGTAGTTTACTTGATTAATATTTAGTTATGTATTTTCTATTTTTTATTAAAATATATGTGTAGATAACAACACAATATATATAAGAATTATCTTATTTAAATACATATTATTTAGATTTTGGATATTTCTTATGATTATTATTAGTTTTAATTACTTATCTAACTAAAATAATTAAATTCATTTTTATTTTGTATGTAATTTATATATTTTATTCATTAAGGGTATAAGCGATATTAACCAGTGTAACTTTTAACATGGGAGCTCTATTGCGAAAATCACTTAAATGCGAACCTGTGGACTTAATTATATTTAAGTCAATTTAAAAAATCATCAAAATAAATGATTATTTGCATCCAAATAATTCGACCTATAACATTAAACTTTTTTACATTGATAAAGTTATTCACAAATTAAAAACAAATCCTTGTTTTCCTTTAAAATTTTGAAAAATCTAAAGTCTATTTAATTTCTTCTAAATTGATAAAATTTATAGAAATCTATCTTTCAATTTGAAAAATTGAATCGATAAACATACATTCAAAAATTGATCTTATAGAAAGAATAAAATTAGTTTGGATAATAATACAATATATTTGAATATATTTTTGTCAAACACGTATTTTCTTTCTTTTTGAATGATCTTTTATTTTATATGATTAACTCATGTTTAAGGTTTAACTATATAAAATATAAACATAAATTTAATTTAACGTGTGAGTTCGGAGGTGGAAAATAACTTCACGAATATATATCTATATAATATTATTATATTATTTTAATTTGAAAATAATTACGTATTATACTTTTTAATTATATAAAATTAAAAATTTTACTTTATGAATATTTATTTATGTGTTTTTTTGTTTTTGAATTTTTTATTAAAAATATATTTTCCGGATAACAACACAATATCTATAAGAATTATCTTTTTTTTTTTAAATATATATTTAGATTATGGATAATTCTTATCATTATTATTAATTTGAAATCTAATCAAATAAGTATTAAATTCGTTTTTATTATTAGCTGATTTATATATTATTTTCATTAAGGATATAAACGATATTAACCACTTTTAACGTGAGAGCTCCGTTGCGAAAAATTAATTCGCAAATAATAGTATAGATGTGGTTGTGGATGAATTTATATTCAAAGTTTGAACTCTTTTGTCTAGAAACACAAACGGATTACGTTCCGAAAAGAAAAAAAAGTTATTACCACGCAGGCACGCACCAATCATCAGAAACGTTGAGTTTGATCGTGTTCGACCATGCATAAACAAAGCTCTTCATGAAAAATCAATGATCTCCAAAAGAAAACAAAAATAAAAGAGAACTACTTTTGGAATCATTATTGTCGTGTTCTATAATCCCATACATGTATTATTCCGATTTATAAAGCTAAAAAATTTCATGCCTGCTTTTGGCACGAGATTGCGTGTAAACTCTCGTACACTCGTAACAATGGAAATGGAACATGTGGCATATTTATGAAAATTAATAGAAACATATATATATATATATATATATATATATATATATATATATATAAGAAAATCCTTTTATATGATGTCATAAAGGTAAATAAAATCTTTTCTGTTTTTACTTCCGTGGAGCACAAAAGGAAAATCACATAAATGTCACAACATTGAACAAAACATGACCAGGGACAAGAAAACATTCAAGCCACCACAAGCACACAACCAAGAGCAGTTATCTCATGTATGTTCTGTTCACAGTTCGTTGAGTCCTTTCTAATTTGTTACTAGTGGCTCTTGCGCAGCAATGTAACTAGCGTACTCATTTCAACAAAGTAAAATTTTATAATCTCCAGAGGTGCCTAATTCCAAACTCCAAATTCAAATCCCGTTATTCGGATAAGTTTTAGAAGAAAAGACGTTATTTTGATAGAGACTGGAGTTGACGAGAGCTCAAATGGTTCATTTTCTATTGTCAAATAGGTTTTCATTTCTATAATATCTAAAGGATTCCTTGCAATCACCAATATATATATGGATTTTGAATCCTTCCAGAAACAATATACAAAGGAAAACTTGTATTACACTGACATGGTCTTCACTTGACCAAAATAAAAGTAGAAAATGTCTTGGCTGTGTAACTGGATGATGGATTATAGTATTGTAGATTTGGGAAAGTAGAAAAATATGAATTGGTCTGTTAAAAGTAGAAAGTCTATGGATTATAGTATTGTAGTTGTAACGTTCTGTGAATAAGTCTACAGAGCAAGAAAAGAGAAAAAACATCTCAATAAAGAGATATTGAGATCAAAAGAGGAACAAGTTTGGTTGGAGAGAAAGAAAAAAAATAGAGGGAGATGATGAAAGTGCAAGTTCTGTTCCTCGTGGCTATTTTGTTTCCTGATCTGAAGCAGCTTGTCAAGGGGCAACTCTGGCCAAAATGCTCACCTAGATGTGGCAACGTCAACATCGAGTACCCTTTTGGCACTTCTACAAATTGTTACTATCCAGGAGATTCTAGTTTCAACCTCAACTGTAAGCAAGATAATAGGTTATTCATCGGTGACCTTGAAGTGGTCAGCATTTCTCACAGCGGCGAGATACGTGTTCTGGTTCCTATATCATACACTTGCTACAACGACCGTGGAGGTATAACGGGCAGTAAATATTACAAGTTTAAGTTGAGTAGTTTTACTCTCTCCGACAACAACAGTTTCACTGGAGTAGGCTGTGACAGTAGCGTGGTGCTGACCAACTTAGGGGATAAAGTCCACGCAACTGGTTGCATATCGTTATGCAAGACCCTCCCAGAAAAAGGATCATGTTCTGGTGAAGGTTGTTGCCAGACTTCTATCCCTAAGGGCGGTAAAAAATTTCAAGTCAGACCATTTAGCTATTACAACCATACTGATGTGCATAGGTTTAATCCTTGTACATACGCGTTTCTTGTTGAAAAGGATAAGTTTAACTTTTCTGGTCAACAAGATCTTAAGAATCTGAGGGATGTCAAGGAGTTCCCTGTGATACTAGATTGGTCTATTGGAAACCAGACATGCGAGCAGGTTGGAAACAAGAGCATATGTGGTCTGAATAGTCATTGTTCTAATTCCACTACTAGAACAGGATATATCTGCAAATGTTTACAAGGTTTTGATGGGAACCCATTCCTTCCAGACGGTTGCAAAGGTAATTTATACTTTTTACATTTTTTATTTATTTATTATTTTTTTCTTTAGAGTCCTCATACATATGTTGTTGCATCTTGCTATCTTTTTTTTTTTCCTTGGGGCTAGACATCGACGAGTGTGATGATTATGCAAAGCGTAAACATAACTGTTTGGATCCCAAAACCTGTAGAAACACGCCTGGAAGCTTTTTTTGTAATTGCCCTTTTGGTAACTACACCGACGGAAACTATGTGATCTGCTCAACGCCATCATTCACGCCAAGAGAGGTGCCTAAGTACTTTGAATGGACTCAGATTTTTCTTGGTATGCTCTCTTGCACTCATTCTGGATTATGTGTTTCCTGAAACTGCTCATGTCAATTCTTTTTTTTTTAATGAATGTGATTAGGAACAACCATCGGCTTCTTGTGCATTCTACTTGTGGTTACTTGTATACAGCAGAGGATGAAGAACAAGAAAAACACCGAGCTCCGACAACACTTCTTCGAGCAAAACGGTGGTGGCATGTTGAGACAGAGACTCTCAGGGGCAGGCCCATCAAATGTTGATGTCAAGATCTTTACCGAGGAAGGCATGAAGGAAGCAACTAGTGATTATGACGACAGCAGAATCTTGGGTCAGGGAGGCCAAGGAACAGTCTACAAAGGGATACTACCAGACAACTCCATAGTGGCAATTAAGAAAGCTAGGCTTGGAGATAGCAGCCAAGTAGAACAATTCATCAATGAAGTGCTGGTACTTTCACAAATCAACCATAGGAATGTAGTCAAGCTCTTGGGCTGCTGTCTTGAAACTGAAGTTCCTTTACTAGTCTATGAGTTCATTAACAGTGGCACCCTTTTTGATCACTTGCACGGTTCCTTGTTTGATTCTTCTCTTACATGGGATCACCGTCTGAGGATAGCAGTGGAAATAGCTGGAACTCTTGCCTATCTTCACTCCTCTGCTTCTATTCCAATAATCCACAGAGATGTCAAGACTGCTAATATCCTCCTGGATGAAAACTTAACAGCAAAAGTAGCTGATTTTGGTGCTTCAAGACTCATACCTATGGATAAAGAGCAGCTCACAACTATGGTGCAAGGAACTCTAGGCTACTTAGACCCAGAATACTACAACACAGGGTTGCTAAATGAAAAGAGCGATGTTTATAGCTTTGGAGTAGTCCTCATGGAACTTCTCACAGGCGAAAAGGCATTGTGCTTTGATAGGCCACAGTACTCAAAACACCTGGTGAGTTACTTTGCTTCTGCCTTAAAAGAGAAAAGGTTGCATGAGGTTATTGATGGGCAAGTGATGAATGAGAATAACCAGAGGGAGATCCAGGAAGCTGCAAGAGTTGCTGTTGAGTGTACAAGGGTGACTGGAGAGGAAAGGCCAAAGATGAAGGAAGTAGCTGCAGAGCTTGAAGGCTTGAGAGCCACTAAAAGTAAACATCAGTGGTCAGATAACTATCCTGAGCCAGAGGAGACTGAGCATTTGCTTGGTTTGGGGATCTTATCAGCACAAGGTGAAACCAGTAGCACTGGCTATGATAGCATCAAGAATGTAGCAGTATTGGACATTGAAGCTGGCCGCTGATTAGGCCACATTCCGGTCAAGCCTGATCAGGTTTCTTCTATCTCCCTTTCCATACTAAACATTTAAACTTTTGTGATTGATAGATTCTTGATCTTTAGATCATCAATAATTGTTTCTGTAACTCTCCTTGATTGGTATTGTACACTTCTGGATTTGGCAATGGAAACTTTAGTGTTCTTGTTTTTATTTTAAAAATCCAAGAAGAAAAGCTAGAATTGAAAGAACGGATCAAAAGAAAATAGAGAAATGTAATGATCATAGACCTGCCTCCAAGAATCTTTAAAAGGAAGACAATCTTAGGTACTTGTTCAAATCTACCAGAAGTGTCATCTCTGAAACACATTGATCCAAAAATAAATCGTGGCCTGTTTTTTTTTTTTGAAATGATTCGGATTAAAACATTCTTATACTGAGAGTAAATGCAGCTATATGATAATAATACCGGGCCTTCGATGAAAATTCGTTTGAAGCCATATTCCTCAAGGTAAAAGCATCCAAACAAACAGATATAGAGGAAATATAGAGGACAGAGACTAACTTAAAGCTGCATAAACAAGCACTTGAAGATAAAAAATTCATTGAGTGTGTATTTGGATATGAATTATACTATTGTAGATCTCTGGGAATGAGTCTGTGAAGCAAGTAAAGAAAGGACTATCTCAAGGAGTGGAGTTTGATACCACATTTATTACTTTACTGCAGTGATAGAGAGGACTCTCTGCAACCCTTAAACATATGCCATGTCACTTTAAGACTTTTCTTACCGTAATTATGTTCTGTTTTGTAGTTAATTGGATTTCTATATACTTTTTTTTTGTAACAAATTTCTTTACGCATTTAAATGTCTCTATATGTAATATTGTTCCAGGAAAAATAGATTATAAATATAGAGAGTCCCATTTATTTTTTGTTTCTATTGTTTCTACTTCTACATGTCATCATGAGCCTTGTTCCTACACATCGTCCCTCTTCACTATTAGAAAAAAACTTCTGTTAAAGAGTAAAATTATTTTTGTGTTAAAAAAAAAAGAGTAAAATTATTCAAATGGTTGACAAAATGTCCACTAATAAATCTTTTATAATTGCCAAAAGTTTTACATTCAGTAATTAATATAATAAAGCATATATTGTCTGAATATTTACCATTTCTTCTCATTAGAAGATTCCTTGCAACTACCTACTACAAAAATTAGCGTCACATTGTTAAACTGTAGCAGATGTAGACGTTGTTAATATATATGGCTATGTGGTACTTTGAGGTCCTCAATACATTACATTGACATGGTCTCTTCTCTTGTTTGTGTAGTTGGCTTTGTGGAAAAAATGTCTGCCAGAATGAGTCAAACAGAACATCCCAAGACTTGAGGTTTATTTACTATAAGAAATAGACTTCAAGAAAACCTTAATAGAGATTCAAAATTAGAGAGAAGCGATCAAAGAGAGGTAGAAGATGAAAATTCAGGAGGGTCTGTTCTTGATGGCCATAATCTCTCTTGCTTATACACATCTGGTCAAGGGCCAATCATTGCCAGGTTGCCAAACTAGATGCGGAAACGTCTCAATAGAGTACCCTTTTGGCACTTCTCAAGGATGTTATTACGCCGGCGACAATAGTTTCAAACTCACATGTAACGAAACAAATAAGCTAATCTTTGGAGGCAACGAAGTGATCAACATCACTCACAACGGCGAGCTTCGCGTTCTGGTTACTAGATCCTATGTGTGTTACAATAGCCAAGGGAGCCAGACTGGCCGTAGTAACCGGTGGACTAGGCTTGGTAACTTAACATTCTCCGACAAGAACAGATTCACTGCAGTAGGATGTAACACTTACGCGTTTCTCAACACTAATGGAGTTGGAAATTACTCAGTTGGATGCATGTCAACATGTAGTTCTCCACGGGAGACTAATGGATCATGTTCTGGTGGAGGTTGCTGCCAGACTTCTTCTCCTAGAGGAAGCAGCTACTTCAGAGTAAGACCATACAGCTTTTCAAACCATACTTCTGTCCATAGCTTCAACCCTTGCAGCTATGCTTTTCTAGTGGAAGATGGTTTGTTTAACTTCAGATCTTCAGAAGATCTTATGAATCTGAGGAATATCACGAGGTTCCCTGTGGTTCTAGATTGGTCTATTGGTAAGCATTCATGTCAGCAAGTTGGAAGGACAAACATATGCGGTTTGAACAGTGTATGTGCCAACTCTGTCCGTGGAACCGGTTACATCTGCAAATGTAAGGAAGGGTTTGATGGGAATCCATACCTTTCAAATGAGAATGGTTGCCAAGGTACTTTAGATTGTACATATTTTTCTTTGTTTCTTCTTTTGTGAGTTAATTTGTTATTATCCTTATACATTTTCTTGCTGACAGATATCAATGAGTGTACTACTAGTAGTACTGTCCATAGACATAACTGTTCTGATTCCAGCACCTGTGTAAACACTATGGGACACTTCCTGTGTACTTGTCCGTCTGGCTTCAACTTAAATGCCACCACCAATAGCTGCATGCGTAAAGGCAAACCTGAATATTATGGATGGACTCAAATTTTTCTTGGTAAGCTCCCCTCACTTGTTGTTGAGTCTTTATTTTCTGGATCAATTGCTAAAATGCTCTTTTTTTTTTTTGACAAAAGGTTTTTGCTAAAATGCTCTTGGGCATGAAAAAATAATAATCTCAAAATACTCCTCTACTCAAAAATAATAATTTTTTTAATTTTTCTTAAATCATAAAGTTATTAAAAGAAAATTTGGTATAAATATGTAAGTAAAACTTAGTATAACTATAAGAAGTATAATCTGTACCTGGCCAATTATATATTAATTTAAAAATTTTAATTTCAGATCTAAAATCCAATATTTTTGCTATTTGGAGGCAAGTGTAACATCTGAATAAGAGTGAAGAGTATACAGATTAGTTAAGAGTATACATTCAGGGCCGGCTCACGAGGGGGGACAAACGGTGCGACCGCCCCGGGTCCAAACCCGTGTCCCCCCCCCCCCGATTTTACTAATTAAGGGGCCCAATATTTTTTATATATACATATTTTTATATAGAAAATTTTAAATATTTATAAATTTTAGTTGAATAGGGGCCCTAAAATATTTTACATATACATAATTTATTTTCATAACAAACTTTTCAAAGATATTGATGTTAAAAATTTAAAAAAATATTTTATTTTTTAATAAATATAAACATTAAAAGTAAAAAAAAAATTTTTGCCCAGGGGCCCAAACAAATGTTGAGCCGGCCCTGTATACATTATTTTGTTTTTCTTCCATATTTCAGCATTTGGTCTTTATTTTCTGAATAAAACCTTAGTCTTATTAATCATGTATGTGTGATGTAACCAGGAACAACAATCGGCTTTTTAGCCATCTTACTTGTGGTTAGCTGTGTACAAAAGAAAATAAAGCACAGGAAAAACACCGAGCTCCGACAACACTTCTTTGAGCAAAACGGTGGCGGCATGTTAAGGCAGAGGCTCTCAGGAGCAGGGCCATCAAACATTGATGTCAAAATCTTTACTGAGGAAAGCATGACGGAAGCAACTAATGGTTATGATGAAAGCAGAATCCTTGGCCAGGGAGGCCAAGGAACAGTCTACAAAGGTATGTTACCAGACAACTCGGTAGTTGCTATAAAGAAAGCTCGTCTTGGAGACAGCAGCCAAGTAGAGCAGTTCATCAACGAAGTGCTGGTGCTTTCACAAATCAACCATAGGAACGTAGTCAAGCTCTTAGGTTGCTGTTTAGAAACTGAAGTTCCTTTGCTGGTCTATGAGTTCATTAACAGTGGCACACTTTTTGATCACTTGCACGGTTCCTTGTTTGATTCTTCTCTTACATGGGAGCACCGTCTGAGGATAGCAGTTGAAATCGCTGGAACACTTGCTTATCTTCACTCCTCTGCTTCTATTCCAATCATCCACAGAGATGTCAAGACTGCTAATATTCTCCTGGATGAAAACTTAACAGCAAAAGTAGCTGATTTTGGTGCTTCAAGACTCATACCAATGGATAAAGAGCAGCTCACAACTATGGTGCAAGGCACTCTTGGTTATTTAGACCCAGAATACTACAACACAGGGTTGCTAAATGAAAAGAGCGATGTTTATAGCTTTGGGGTAGTCCTCATGGAACTTCTCTCAGGTCAAAAGGCATTGTGCTTTGAAAGGCCACAGACCTCAAAACATCTTGTGAGTTACTTTGCTTCTGCCATGAAAGAGAAAAGGTTGCATGAGATTATTGATGGCAAAGTAATATATGAGGATAATAAGAAGGAGATAGAAGGAGTTGCAAAAATAGCTGTTGAGTGTACAAGACTGATGGGAGAGGAAAGACCAAGGATGAAAGAAGTAGCTGCAGCGCTTGAGGGCTTGAGAGGCACTAAAACCAAACATAAGTGGTCGGATCAGTATCCTGAGCCACAAGAGGCTGAGCACTTGCTCGGTGTTGAAATCTTATCATCACAAGGGGATACTAACACCGTTGGCTATGACAGTATCAAGAATGTAACAAGATTACATATTGAAGCTGGTCGCTGATATTTGTCAGTCATGCTCTCACATAATCTCATGTATATCTTTTGTTTGTGGAAAAAAATATATTTATCTATTGCTTCTCTCCTCTTCTGAAAACATTTTAATAACCAGAGTATCAAATATGACATTAAAAACATTTATAGTCGAACAATTTGTGATTCAAAAATAGAATATACAAAGGCCAGAAGAGACGGACTGGTTTGTTGCATTAGAGGAGATAAGTGTTAAGACGTTTGAGAAGCAAATATTGCAAACAGTAAAATATGAAATACAGGCTACGTGCATGAAGGACCATTAGTTGATATCAACACACATGTTTCAAATTTATTGCAAACAAAAATAAAAATACGTTGAAGATGCTGAGAAAGCTTTATGGGTGGATTCTCTCTTTCACTCTATGTTTCTCTTATTATGGATTCCGTGTTGACTTTTCTCCTTGCGCACATCGTGTTCTCCTGGAAAGTATATACAATATACGATATAAACATTCTCATGCATGCATCCAAATAGAACTTTTACTTTTTGACCAGAGCCGGTCCTAGAAAATATGTGCAAACTTAATGAGGTGTGTAGATGTAAGTATAGGGAGAGTTATTACCATGACAGAGAATTCTAATGGTGGTATGGAGGAGGAGGAGATTTGTAGAGGTAAGGATGGTGTGGGGGAAAGTAGTGTTGGACTCGAGGAGGAGGAGGTGGTATATATACGTAATTTTTCTTTGGTGGTGGTGGGGAATTGTATAATGGAGAAGTATAGTGTTTAACCGGAGGAGGTGGAGTTTTGTATTCGTAGTGCTTCTTTGGTGGTGGTGGAGAGTGGTAAACCGAAGGAGAGTAGTGCATAACCGGAGGAGGAGGAGATTTGTACATGTAGTGTTTCTCTGGTGGTGGTGGAGAATGGTAAACCGGGGAAATATAGTGTTTAACCGGTGGGGGTGGAGAGTGGTAAGCCAGAGAAGGAGAATGATGTTTAACCGGAGGAGGAGGAGATTTGTATACGTAATGTTTATTGGGTGGTGGTGGTGGTGAGCGGTAGACTAGTGCTGGAGAGTAGTGCTTAACCGGTGGGGGTGGAGATTTGTAGACGTAGTCTTTCTTGGGAGGTGGTGGAGAGTGGTAAGCCAGAGGAAGAGAATAGTGCTTAACTGGAGGAGGTGGAGGTTTGTATTCGTAGTGTTTCTTAGGTGGGGGAGGAGAATGATAAACCGGAGGGGAAGAATAGTGTTTAACCGGAGGAGGTGGAGATTTGTATTCGTAATGCTTAACAGGTGGTGGAGGAGAAGAATATAAGTACTTATCAGCTGATTGAGATAAAAAGGTGAGAGGAGAGATTGTTAAAACAAGCAAACTTGCTGCAAAAGAGGCTATTGGAGACCCCATTGATTGTTTTGTTGCTTTGGTTTATGCTCTTAAGAGTCTCCCCTTCACACCCTTTATATTGCTATTTCTGTTTTCACCATTTTCACTTTGCTACCTCATTGTAAAATTGTAAATTTAAGTAATGTAAAAGGGTACTCGCAGTTGTTATACCAAACAAATATAATATTATGGAGCAATAAGTGATATTGATCTCTCCGACTCATTATTATTAGTATTTAGCTGTCGATGGTTGACATGTTCTCACTGTTGGAACAACGTATCAAATCTTATGATTTTCTTTATATAAAGTTAGATCTAATCTTTATTGAAATCTCGAGACTTTTATTATGGTCCTTTTGAGCAATCTTTTTTGTGTAAATTTTACTTGAGAACAATTATACATTATCACAAAAGCATGTAAATAATGTTGGTAGAACATTCAGAAAAAGAGATGACCGGGTAAGATTTGTGTTCCTATACAAGATGTTTCACGTTTGTAGATCTTTGATCAAATATTTGTAGCCAAAACCAGCGAATATCATTTCAGACTTTTATCACAAAAAAAATGGTCAAGACCACTTATTTTGAAATCTATCGATCATGTATTTTACTTAACAGCGTTATTAAATTGTCGCCTCCTTTCTACTTTTTATTTTTGGTTACATGCATATTTTTTTTGTCAAAATACATTTGCATCTTTTCTGATATTTTCTATAGCTTTTCCAACCATACAAGATATTGGTATTCAGATCATCAATCATTATGTTTATAAATCTCCTTCATCGGCATTGTACACTTTACTATCAGAATAATACATTTGAGCAATGTCTCTACATGTAGCAATGTTCCATTTAGTTTTTGGTTTTTGTTTCTTAATTGTTTTTACTCCCACGTGTTGTGATCATGAGCCTTATTCCTATGCATCTTAATTCTTCACTACAACAAAAACTTTACACCTAAAGGATATATTATTTTAAAGAGGAATAAAGGACAGTATATTTTGATGGTTAACGAAGAGAGAGTTCAAATGGAAATGGTTGACCTATAATGTCCACTACTCCCACATGACAGTGACTGAAGTTGAAGAGGGAGTTCAAATGTCTCGTTTAAGTTGTAAAATACCTTTCTACACTAGAATCTCTTAAGCATGCTTATGAAACCATTTCAATTTCTTCCCATTTGAATATTCTTTGAAACAACCAACCGTCGTAATATTACAATAAAAGAAGTATTATTGAACGGAAGCAAATGTTGATGTGTGATATTATATGGGAATACTTAAACATAAAATTTTAGTGTACCATGTTCAGCAATAAATTTTTAAATTAAATTATCTCTAAAAGTTAAATTTTGTTAATATTAAATTTATTATTTTATACCTATATTTTAATATAAATATTAATCTAGTTAAACATTAAATTAAGATAAATAACCAATTTAATTTATTTTAAAATATATTTAAGAATTTATATGTAGATATTTTATAAACTTACATATATTTTCATTTTTTCTTTTTGGTTAAGATATATTAAATCAACTCGTATAATTGTTTTTAAAAAATTGAATGCAATGGCAGAATTTATAAATAAAATATGTGAAAAGAAAGTATTTAATTTAGTGTAAACACAATGGTTAAATGTACAAATAAAAGGAATGACTTATTATGTTAACCATGTTTCCAAACAATTCTCACTTATTCTGCTATTTTTATCTTCAAACAGTACCAAAAGATATTTCAATTTTAATAATATAGATGATATTTTGTTTTTTTGAAGATTGAACTCTCAAAATCTATATTTGACTAAATTAAATAAGATAATAATATATTAAAAACTATTTTATATCATATATACTATATATATCAGTTTTTGTTTTTATTTTCACCACAAAGAAAAAAAATTATTATAATTAATTAATTAAAATTAATTTTAAATGTAATGACAGAATCTATAAATAAAAATATACAAAAACTATTTAATTTATCATAAATACAATGATTAAATGTAAACTAATCATGTTTCCAAACAATTCTCATTCATTCTACTATTTTTGTTTCTAAACACTATCAAATAAACAGTATCAAAATAAACAGTACCAAAAGTTACTTCAGTTTTAATAATATAAATTTGTTTTTTTTTTGGAAAAACGATTATAAAAATAACATGTGCCAAATTACTTATCAAATAATGTCTAGAGATTTGCATTGATATAAAAGAAAAGAACCTCCTCGCTGGTCAACTTTTGTGTATTGAGTTGTTCTTTTTTCTTATAAAATTAAAAGCATTAGAACATAGCATGTGATCAAGAGCTTCTTCCATCTACATCTTCACTTATAATAATAATATAATTAAAAACAAATCTTCAACATATCACTCTTTAGAGTTTCTTTTTAGAGTTTATTATAAAAATAACAGATATGAAAAACAAAATCTCAAAACATCACTTATTTTATAAAAACAAAAGTACTATATTATTATTCTAACTACTAAATCAAATCCCATTTACCTTTTAAATATTAAATCTTAGAGCATTCCTAATAAAGATTCTAGCAATAAAAGTTCTCAATATATATATATATATATATATGTATATGTGTTTTAAGAATTTTAATATTGGAGGTGTTTTTGGAGTGGCCTCTATGGTGAGGTTCTCCAAAATATATTATTAAATATTGAATATTGTTATTTAAAACATATTTATTAAATAATTTAATTTTAACTAAATATTGAAAATATAACCAACAGAACGATACATAGTCAATGGGGTTCTATAGGGTTTCATCGAAGGATACAAAATCTCTATCTTTACTCTACTTTTCCTTTTTATATTACTATTTTTGTAGATATTAGAGGATGAGAATTCTTTGTTGGACATGCTTTTGATTAAACCCTAGTCACTGAATCATAAATCTAAATATTAAATAAAACATCATTTTTATTTTCTAATAAATCCTACTTTGAGAATTTTTCTCCTTGTGTGCTATATTTAAAAGTATTTCTCTGTAACTAAGACATACAAACAAAGACATTTTTTTTTTAATTTTTTCACATTTGGAGAATCCTTGCAATTACCGTTGTTCCTTTGAATACAAAAATATTGAATCACTGACAAACAAGCAGACGTACTTGAACGTTTCCTTGCGTTACCTTGAATGGATCTAGAAAGTGTCTGCGGAAACGAGTCAAGCTAAAGAGACGAAACATGTCAAGACTTGAGGTTTATCTTCTATAAGAAAGCAGACACCTCAAGGAGATGAGAGAGCAAAAAAACTCAAAAGCAAGAAAGAAAGAGAAAGAAGATGAACAAGCTGCATGGTCTTTTCTTTGTGGCAAATTTCTCCCTTGCACTTAGCTGATCAATGGCAAATCTCTTCCGGGCTGCACAGATAGATGTGGCAACGTCACAACTGAATACCCTTTTGGAGTTTCTCCAAATTGTTACTATGGCGGATAAATTAGTTTCCGACTAACCTGTAATAAAACAACAAATAAGCTGTTCGCTGGCCCCATATATGCAAGTGGTCAACTATTCTGATACTGGCGCTTGCTGAAACAGCACACAGTTGACTCGGCAAGCTATCTACACCACTACTCTAGCTAATCTTACTCTTTCTAACAAGAACAGGTTCATTGCCGTGGGCTGTTGTGCTTTGAAAGGCCACAGACCTCAAAACATCTTGTGAGTTACTTTTCTTCTGCTATGAAAGAGAAAAGGTTGCATGAGATTATTGATGGCAAAGTAACGTATGAGGATAACAAGAAAGAGATAGAAGAAGTTGCAAAAATTGCTGTTGAGTGTACAAGACTGATGGGAGAGGAAATGCCAAGAGGCTGAGCACTTGCTCGGTGCTGAAATTTATCAGCACAAGAGGATACTAACACCATTGGCTATGACAGCATCAAGAATGTTACAAGATTAGACAATGAAGCTGGTCGCTGATATTGTAAGTCTAACTCTCACGTTAATCTCATGTATATCGTTTGTGGAAAAAATAAATAAATTTATTTGATGCTTCTTTTCTCTTTTGAAAACATTTTAGAAACCAGAGTATCAAATATAACATTTAAAACATTTCTAGTAAAACATTTCTTCCGATTAAAAATGGGAAATTACTTGAAAGGGTTTTACCATTTAATTTTTTTTTAAAAAACCCTTAAATTTGGATGCTAAACCGGTATTCTTTTATGCTTAAACAGGCCTTAAGTAGGCTTCAACGGGCCGGCCTTCGGTATCACCTCTTGAACCCAAATTTTCAGGGAACATTTTTAAATCATCCCGTTAAGTTGATAACTTTCACCTAAGTACAAACCTGATTCTTGTGCGTTGCTTGGTGTGATGTGTCTAAGGGACAATAATATACAGATCATTTTATACAATGATATGAGGTATATCAACCAGAATTGAATGACAACAATGCATAATTATATATCTAATACGCACGTAAACTAGGTATAACTATATATCTAATACGCACGTAAACTAGGTATAACCAAATTAGTGGTCAAAGATAGTACAAAGAACTTCTAAGGATAAGCATAAAAATCAAACCATGTCCACAAACAGCGAAACACTATATAAAGAAATATACAAAGTTACTGGCATTTGAGAAGCAATTATTGCAAAAGTTCTGAAAATATCTAAAGTGACAGTTAAACTATATTTTAATTCTACATTCAATTATTCTAACTGTATCAAATTAAGGGGTTGAAAAATCAACATTCAAAATAATTTAAAATAATTTTGACCCATTCTTCTTTTATCGCGCGTCTGAAAAAATAACTATACACATTTCTTTCTCCTATATAAAATATTTACGAGAAGCAGTGTTTGTTTCACAAAAGTAACGTAGAAATTGTACTAATATAGTGGAGCATGTGATGTAGATAAATATTTGGGATATTTCCAAATATTTATTATTTATTTTATTAGTTATTTTTGATAATTATCTTTATTATTTTAGGGTTTTATGGTTTTCATATATATAGGCTTCTTATGCCTAGAGTTGTATTCAACAGTTTTTATGATGATTTGATAAATAAAAGTCTGTTCTTAAAGAGGTTTTTATAAACCACT